AGCGGCGTGGCCAGCGTGGTGGACTCGGATGGAAGGCGCCTGACGTGTGGCTCTGGCTTCTGATTGGTCAATAAAGCCTGCTCTGTTGTACCGGTCTTTTACCTATTAGGGCTCGGGTATTCTACAGGCGTCATACTGGGTGGCAGACATATATTTAAAGACTTAGCTTAGCCAATCATCTGTCTTGGTGCTCATCAATGTCTAAAGAGGAAGTTTGCCAGAGATTGTGAGAGAGGCTGGAGAAGCGCTCTACAACTGTTGGTGAAGCCATTATAGCGGACTTAAATTAACGGCTTGAATGTTGTACAATACGGACATGATCGTAGCTCATAAACGAATGCTTTCGTTTGTCGTGCTAGGCTATTTCATATTGATTGGACTTAATATCATCTCTTGAAACTGCCAAATTTCTGTCGTTTCTTAAAGTTTTAACCAAATGCGCACCCAGAAATCTTATGTAACGTATTCCATTTGAATGGATGAATCAGGTTGGCAATTCAATGGGGGTTCAATGACAAGTCGAAGCCGCTCTAACCAAGGTCGGTAGTATGAATTCGCTAATTAGGAATGTCATTAAATATAGACACGTTTCTCTTCATCGATAATAAGTTACTGCATTAACATCTGATAAAAGACAATCGTCGTGAACCATATTATGCTTTGTAAATTGCTCCAGGCAAGTCGAAAAGGAGAGTTCATGTGCAGTAGAGCCGGAAGGTAATTGAGGATAGCTGAAAGACGGACAGGGTAGTGTTAAATGTTTGGACAACGAGGGGTGATGCCATCGCTGACAAAGGTGGCTCAGCGTCTGTCACCTCTTTGGAAAAACGCCTTGAGTCGATCAATCTTGCGTCGACGTGTTTGCGCAAAGTTCGTTCTAGTCGACTTCTCGGTGGTTTGAAGCGCTGCATCTCCAGCTACACCGAACTCTATACCGACGTCGACACCGGTCTGGACGGACTGAAGAAGGCGTCTGTCGAAGTCGGTGAGGCAACTGGGGTTGGTGCGCACGGTGTCAGCGAGCAGACGCAAGGCATAGTCGTGCCATTTGCGCTCGCGTTCTGTCAAAGGCTTCTCAGAGCCGCTGGTCTGGGTGACATCGACGAGATCCGGGCAGTGCTCCACCATGGTGCGCACCAGCCGATTGGCGTATTCCTCCCAGTGACGTTTCTCTTCACGCAGTTGGCGAATAAGGTCCTCGGTGTCTGACGAATTTGCATTTGTGGAAGAATTCTGCCAGATGCAAAAGGGTTCACCAGTCACTCAATGCCCAATGAAATCGTAAAAGTTAATAATGCTGTCCAAGGGCAACAGTTTTTAGAATTGGTTAGGTTAATACTAACGAAATAAGGTGAAACTTTCCTGTTGATATCGATTTTTAATTGGCGAATTGTTGGGGGGGTTTGAACGAAAACAAAGAGGGCTTTGCCTTTCAAAAAATAACTAGTAATTTCTTTCCTTATTTCAATAACTAAAAGTACACGTCTTTTGGTATTTCAGACACAACTAACAGTTGCTTACAAAAAGGCCAAACTCTTGGTCTGTTTTAGTCAGGGTGGGGTATCCTGCTCACTGAAACCTGAACGATTCTGCAACCAAATGTGTTGTTAAATACTGTGCACAATAATTTAGTCTAGTTGCAATTAGGATGAAGACGATGTTACCATTACTACTACTACTGCTTCTACAAAAGTAACGAGTACAACACACCTGGACGCGACTGGAACTGGTCAGAGTGGCTGTCTTCCCGCCGTCTTCGGGGATGCCGGCACCCTGCTCCACTAAAACTTGCCGTTGGTCAGCCTTCTTGCGAAGGAAACTGCGCTCTTTCCGCAGTCGTTGAAGCTCCATCTCGGAGTCCTTCTTTTCCAGACGCAAGCGCTCAATCTCCTCCAGCATCCCTGAGTACTCGTCGATGATTTTCTGGACCTCATCGGTAGTGCCTTGACTGTTGGACGCAAGAATGAAATTGCGCAGCTAAAAGGACCCAATTTGTCAGATAGACACTCCCGGAGAAAGCTTTCATGTTAATATAGTCACCTGTTCTGATAGACTCAAATGCACTTTGGAATGAAGACGAAGTATAACTGTTTGGGCTAGGGATTGGTCACTTTCGATGGTAGCTTTGTAGGCGACGTAAAATTTTACTTATTTGAAGTCTGGTTTTTTAGTCAAATAAATGTAACTGCGTTTTGAGGCAAAATCGAGTACTTACGACAACTCACCACTTTCTACTCAAGTCACCTGATGAACACGAATACGAGGTAGTGCGCAACATGTGCCCACACTAACGAAATGCGAGGTTGTTGCGTAGGCAACTGGAAATTCACTCTTTAATGGCTTGTTATAGCTGTCAGCAGTTTTGACATCTGTCAAACCGTGCATGCCTTCGTCTCGCTCGCACTTTCACCCTACCATTCATCTAATTATTGTGGTGAGGGGGATTTTTTTTATTTTTATGGTCCACCCACTGAGCACAGTTCTTAAATCCGTCCAGTAATTTAATTAACCCCGTCATTAATCAAGCAATTAGATGATTTCTGTACATGCGTTTTATTAGTGCATGTTTGTCGATTACGGCCTCCTAATTGTGCACTGATTTCCAGAAATTTTAGTTCGGCGGGTGTGTCCAGGCAAGGAATTCAAATGTTTCTCGTATATAAACTGAATTAGCCCCTTGTTTTAATGACCAGTTTGCTTGTCGAGCGCCACGCTTGAATTGGCGTATTGCGACGCGCGCCATTCGACCCACGCACGCCGGTCTGGTCTGTTCTTTGTCCTCCTCTCCCTTCCCGCACCCTCGCCTTCCTCAAGGCACGCCCGTGAGTCCGAGGACAACGCCAACCCTCCTCGCGGCCATCCCTTTCTCCACTCTAACTCTCCCAAAGCTCTAGGCCCCTGAGTTTGTATGCGGTAGTATGGAATACATCCGGTTCTTCCAGCTATTCTTCTATCATGATGGTGTGGGTATCTAAGAGGGACGGGCTAACAGTCATCTCCCTATTTAGGTCCCCGCTCGGTAGGCGCGTTACAGTATAATGTATTACACGCACTGATCACATTTCCTGACAACTTCTTACGCAAAACAGGCCAGGAAAGTGGACAACATCGTCAATGGCAACTGCGAAGCTGTCTCACCTTAAGGGCTTCTGCATTGGACTTGCTGACAGCGACTTCCTGGCGGTAAATCGCTAGCTGTTCCTGCTGCTCCGTGATTATGAGTTGGGCCTCCTCGAGATTCGACTGAATCTCCACGCAGCAGTCCTGCGTCTTCTTAAGTTCTTCCCTCAGATGCCGCGTTTCCGCCTCCTTCTCGTCAATCAGCTCGTAGAGTAGATCCACGTCCTAGAAAACAGACATTGGTCGTTTAACCAACAACTATCCCTCCGTCTGCACTCACACAACCTCAAGCGCAAGGTCACGGCATGACAGCTAAGCATGTCTTGACAGGTTTAAAGGGAATTTAGCGGAAAGGTGGACTTGTTTGTCGGCGTGTATGCACCGAATTTTGCGTGGACAATGAAAGTCCAGCTAACTGAGGTAATTCGCATCGCTTTTGCTCCACGAATTGGCCAAGGTTTAACTGCGTGGATAAATAAAACCATCAACAGATATCACAGGTCTCAGTTCTGTTGAAAAATTAGGTGCAAAATGTCTGAGGTGGAAATCCAGATTAGGAAAAAGCAGCCCGGTTTAATTTGATGAGCCTTCAAGGCACTTGACGATTGCCATAGAATCCGATTTTAATTGATCTGCTTAAATCAAAGTCCGGGCAATATCCGTTACAACCTTGAATCTAGTTGAACCAGAATTAAGTTCGAGGTCATTGTCCAGCATCGATCGATAAACTCCAAATGAGAAAAGCAAAGACGCCACTATCATTGCTACCATCGGATTACGTTGAAAGTGTCAACCATATGATTACGGGCTTGCTGTGGTCCTGGTTTGACCTATACAAGACTACTCTAGTTAACAGGGTTGATAAGAACAAACATCGCTACCTAAGAATGGAGATAACTGATAAGAACGTGCATTTTAATTGGGGAAAATTGATGGAGTTTTACACCAAACCCACGACTACCCCCTCCCAAACACGCACACACCAGTGATTACGTAATACCGGGTAGGTAAGTGGAGAATTGTAAACTCGTAACAGCCACTGCGTGTTGTGGCGTGACACCACGCCGCCATGATCGATATACCGGCAAATCTGCTCAGCCATAGGCTGGCTGCTACTAACGGCGTCGCAAAGCCAAACGCAGTTGGACTTGAATTCACGTGATATTTAGCTCGGCGATGGCGGGGTCGGTGGTATGTAAACACCCAGAGATCCACCCACATGTCTTCTCGTATTTTGACAATGTTTAAGGCTCCCAAGGTAGTGGCATATTTCAGCACAAATCTCCCTCACATTTTAACCCCAAATTCAGGATTCCGTTAATTCAAAGCTGATCTGTAGTTTGTTGCCCTTTTCAACGCAAAATAAGCCCACACCTAGTCACATGCAAATGCGTCACGTGTATCTGTTTGACAATTTCGCGAGGCAGTTACTCATGGTCCTAGGAAGTGTGTGCAAAGAGATAGCCTGGAAGTCGAATACCAGAGTTGATTGCTGATTGGTCGGACTGTCGAATTACATGATGTGACTGGTTAAAACCATTGACGTTTGATGAAGTTGGTCTACACCGGACTTGGATGAAGGACGACGTGCCAACATGGAGAGTAGGTAATGCTGATTACTCGATTACCCAAGGTTTATGATAACTCTGATTGGTTGATATGCAGCAGTGGTACCTCACGGTGAAACTTGGTTTCCACAGCACTTAAATGACAGGACAATTCGGTGAGGAAGAATTTTCTCGTCCAAGTTGAAATTAATTAAAACAAATATCCACCAGCAACCTGGTAAAAGCGGCTAGATATTCCGCATATGCGAAACATGATTTTTTTGTCATCTGCGGTGCATTTAACCTACAATATTCGCAAGACTTTGGCGTGGAGAAGTTAGAAAGCATCCCATTAAGACAAAACTAGCCGAATTGCCTGTTTTCGTTGCCTGGAAATCACAGATAAAGTTGGCCTGGTCTGGCTGTCATGTCTAGACGTTTGCCGAAACATGCAAATTTTTCCTACCACACACAAACACATCGTAACAATATGCATAATCTCCACCTCCTTCAATTTTATAGATAATACAAAATATTGCGTTATTTCATCACCCGATATGGTTAACAAATGGTCAAAAGTAGACTAATATTCAATTATTTCGTACCGGATTCAGTGTGCATTTCATGTAACTATTCTTTCGTCCATTACATATGTCAGTTACTGCAAAAGGAGAGCCGTTTCAATATTTCGTAGACACACGCCAACTGGGTAGCAGTTTGAGTAGGAAGAAGCGATCAGGACAGCGAGCCAAATTCGCGAAATGTCAATTGATCGGATTCCACGCGAAGAACAGGCCTGGAAATTTGGTCACGCAAGTCTACTGTTTGTCGTGTCATAAGAAGGCGCTTATGTATAGGGCGTGTGGGCTTCAAAGCCGTGTGACACACAAGAGTGCAAATTTTTCTGTGAATGGCACTTGAAGATGACGATTTTGTGAACACAAATGAGCATGAAATGGACCTACTGAAATCGAATATGTTTTGCACAGTTCTGTGAAACTTGTGTGCGTGTGTGTGGCCCATTTTTCATCGAGGGAAACAGGACTGGCAACGATTATCTGGCGATGCTTCGGAACTAGCAGTCGGACGAAATGGAGACAATTAAGGAAGCCAAATTCGTTTATTTTCACTACACTGAAAACTCATCCTGCAGGGACGCCTTAGCAAGTTGGTTCAAACGTGTTGTTGATGGGGCCGAGGGACTATACAATGAACACTGAATTCGGAACGAAATAATTAACTATTCGACTACTTTGGAGCATTTATAAACCATATTAGGCGATGAAATAAGGCAATATTCGGTATTTTCTATAAACTGGTACGGTTTTTCTACAAGTAAAATCCTTACGGGACAAGCTACGCGCTCTGCTACCACTGGAAGCAGCCCGAATTCCCACCACAACGCTGTGTTTGGTTGAAAATTAGGGTAAACAGGAGTTCTGGGAGAGAAAGCAGCAACACCCAAGTGATTGACTGAACAGTCTGGGGTTTGATGCACCCATGCGTCGACATATTCTGTGATCCAAAGAGCTGCTTCTCGTCTACACGCCGGCGGTGTATGGCTGATGAGTCATATTGTTGGTGGGGTGCTGTTAGCGCACACGTCGAGGTCACCGCTGGTCCAGCGCACATCTCCAAGCTGTTTACTGACACACCAGTGCCACGACCCCACAGGGGGTGGGACACGTGTGCAAACACCTACTGCGGAGACTATGAGCGAGCACTGTGTGTGTGTGCATCAGGGCGCTGTCATGCGAGTTTACTCAAACAAAACCGGAATGTGATGGAGATTTGAGCGACTTAGCATCGACAAGTGCGTAAGCGAAGAAGAGAGAAAGGGCTATTTCACTGGTAGAATCACCGGCAGCCCATTTTAGCATCATTTCGCTTTGGTGGACAGAGTACTATCATGAAGTGTTCTTAAAAACTCCGAGAATGTTCCTTACGTCCCATGCATAATGAATTTGCCCATTAAAATTGTAATGTAGGCTTGTTAATTGCGAAAATAACACTCGATAGGTTGGACGTGGATACACTGCGGATTTCATAGTATACGCTCTTGAAGAATTAGCTGCAACCATAACAGATACTGGCGGCAGTATAAAGAGAGATGTAAGATGGATTAACGTACCTGAGCCAAATCACTGGTGTTGATCTCGTCAGAAACTTCGGGCATGTCTTCTGCATTTTCAGACACCCTGCTTCCATTCTCATCCAATCCAGTTGCGTTCAAACGCATGACTCCTGCTGTTCGGTGGATGGACTGATTACCAAAATCCGGCATTCCCATGTTCCTGAGGTCAACGGGAAGGGACGGTACGTGGTCCATTGGCCGGTGATTCTCCGCCTCTGGTTGCCTTGACGACTCTTGTGTTGATATCATTAAATGTGAGCGCGCAATATGCTGATCACAACGCCGACATATAGCACGTACTCTGGCGTGGGCTGAACCGACGCCGTGATTGGGTGCACGTCTCCGCAAAGCAGATTGGTTGTCGTCAAGATTCTGACAAATGACTGGTCAATTTGGAAAGGGCGTAGTTCGAATTGGGGCAATGTGCTAACAATCTGGTTTGAAACCAATGACTTCTAACCAGTTCCCCACAGGTGTTCAAAACAATTCTCACATCTGATTTAAATGCCAATTTTTTAATGAAAAATGACCAAAACAGCAGTGAACATATCTTTTAATCGCAATTCCGTCAGTTAACGAGGGCAGTAATTTTAACAACCATGAACCAGAACTACCGATAAATAGGCGTAAATTTCCATTTGTGGACATTCGTTTTTGGTAAGATTTGGCCCGGAACAAAGTTCAGTGTAAAAAAATTACCATCGGAAAAAATGGTTGAAAAATCTCAATTCGTCCTCACAAATATTGTTCATTTTACCCCAAAAAATAAAAAAGCCTTAATTTACCAACGTTGGACGCAGTTCAAAGTCGAAATAACGTAAATAAAAACAAGTCAAGTGGAAACTTAAATGTGCATAAGAATTCTTATCAAGAATCATTGATGAAAAAAGGCTACACATAAATTTGGATGGCAGAAATTCAATTACCATTTTCGAAGCCAAAATTTCACTCGACACCAAATCGATAGCAAGCTTAGTATGGCCCATAACCAGTCTTTTCTGTAACTGCCATTAGCAATTCCAGGAATTGCATGCTATCTAAATGCACTCGTTAGAGCAAATCGCAGCTGGGATGGTGTGAGCCTCCACAGATATGGTAATTAGAATGGAGAGCCAGAAAGTGACCACTTGCGAATCACAGCCAAAAATTACTACCTGCTGCCTAAACGCCTTTGACCCTGACACCTCATTTGTAAGAATTGATGTCAGATTCGGGAATTACTTGAACACGCCTATTCCCCCAAACGACCTTTATCGATTGCAATAGATTCACAACCGTCATCGGACATCGCACTCGACCGCTTTCCGTCTGCACCCACCCAACCCCACAGACGACCTGTTGAGCCACTTGTGACCCCTCCCTAAGCCTCGATGTTAGCACACCAATGACACATGATGTTCCTGTTTCTGAATTGTAAATGCACACCCCCAAACACAGCCTACACACCATCACACTTGTCGGATTAACCTAAATTTAAAATTCGACAGTTTCCTATACTTCTGAGTCGCGTTGAGCCTCTACAGGCACTTCGATCACGCATTTCTTTTCAAATATTTATCAGCTGGATTGCTTTTCTCCAAAATTCAGATCACATTTTATTCGACTTCTTCCCCATCACGCTCACACGGGTCTTCGTGTAAGTGCTAGTGCTTGCTACCTGTGATGTTTAGGCACCAATTAGAACGGTGAGTCGATAATTCATTACTGCAGACACGAGCTACGTGTCACATATTTCGTTTGAGCACACCTGCACTGCCGAGACTCGTGAGTGCCCTGGTTGGATTAAAAGAAATTTGTCAGCCTAATATTCTCGTTTCGGAAGTGATCTTATTTTGTGGGTTAAAAATGTGCAAAACAGACCATAGGAGACGTTTGAATGAAAAATAACAATCGAAATTGGAGTCAGTTGGTTCACAGCTAACAAAGATCTTTTTCGACCATTTCAAAGATCATCCCACGCTGCTCCAATTCAATCCACCATCTATCCAAGCCTTAAATGTGTCCACTTGGTTATTTTTTTGGTTTATTCTAAAGAAATGAAACTTATTTCACGCAAATACAAAATTTTAACGATCGGAAATGCTCCAATTCCCATTTTCTTATTAGAAATGGTGAGTTTTTGATGAATAAAGGGCTTAATCAGTTTAAAGAAGAAAGCTTGACTTATTTTGTGGAAAGAAGCAGCGATTAGCAATGAGTGTTACCTCCAGCAGACTTCATGAAGTTATTCTGCAGAAACCAGAAAACGCCTATGGGGACATCGAGATTTGCAATGTCGCATCTGTCCAAACACCGTCCAGCTTAATTTGCTGTAAGTTGGAGTGCGGAAAGACGCAAAATTGTGCCAGTGCAGGCTCCCTTCCCTGGTTGACACGAGGAGGTAATGAAAAACAAGGTAAAACGGGGAAAAAACACTACACAGTTTTACAAGTCACTGTCCTTACGCGGCCATCGTTATCAATGAGTCAGATTTTGTGTGTGTGTATGTGTGTGTATATGTGCGTGGGTGAGTGTGTCTCGTGTGAAATGACACAGCTCGACCTGACGCCTACTGAACGCTTTCGTGAATCCACTCGGAGATGCCGCGAGTGCAGGCGTACACACCATAGTGCTTGCCGCAACCCCGACCTGACCCGAAACTCGTCACCCCGTAGATGTACCAGCGACCGTCTTTGGGGTTTTGGCAGAAGAGGCCTCCACCGCTGTCGCCACGGCAGGTGTCCTAGAATAGAAGACACTTGTGCGTTCATTCGTTCCACGTGCACTGCTTGAGTTTTGTAAGTAGTAGGCACAAGTTTAGAGTCAATAATTCGAGTAGTTAAGATACGATGATGGCTGTAAATGATAGTAGTTTTGGGTCGTAATATATAGGTAGGTACTACGTTGTGAAATCAATAGTAGATTAGCTCAAATCTATGTTGCATGTTGAATGTCAGAGACACCCTGATAACAAACTTATCTAAGTGTTTACGGTGAATTTGAATCACTGCGAGCTTGAGTGAGGGAGAAAGTAAGGAGATTGACAAAACTGTGGGGTCTGGTGGTCATGTGTAAGCACTGAAACGAGTTTTCCGCATTACAGCGACACGTCACTCCAGTCACTATAGCAACGCGTGATGCGGCATTGCCGTAATGGCACACAATAACAATTTTGTAGGTCAAGTCAAGATGTAGTCGGAACAAGTCGAATTGAAGCGCCTAAGTCTCGACTCACGGCTTATTTTAAAACAAAAAGAATCTCAGCGGGAACCAAGTTGTTCAAGCGGACCGTGTTAAATTTTAGCTACAAAACAGCCCATATTTTCTAATAGAAATGTGAAAATAGAACTGTGTGCGTAATATACACCTTTCCTTTCTCGCCAGCACAGACGTGGACCCACTCGCGCAAATTCCTAAACGTTCTGCGACACTTCGACAACGGCACAAGTCGCAAGTCCACCTCGAGTAGTCGAAGCGGCTGTTTCGGACCCCTGCGTCGTCTGTTGAATGAGGAGAAATGGCCCAGCCCGAAGGGCTGCGGAAAGAACCCGCTGGATAATAGATCGATGAGGCCGAAGGACTGCGGAACGACCGAGTGGTCAGACAAAGTCTCGCCCCAGCCTGCAGCGTAGCACACGTGACCCTCTGGCAGGTTCAGCTTCCGGTCTGGCACACAGATGGAGCCCACCTTGTCGCCTAACAATATAATACGACAGGACAGTGACAATCCCTCCCAGTCTACTGCTTAATAATGAGAAATTGGCACATTATCATCCAACCCGTCTTTTGAAGGCGAAACGTCTTTTTTTCGAGTCATGCCAACTCTCTGTGCAAAAATTAGGCCCTCTTTTCCAAACCTGTTAAGCTCTTAGTTCAACGAAAACCAATTCCCTTTAATCCGTTTATATCGTGGCAAATAATGTAAATGAACCCACAAAAATTGAAGTAGTTTGGCTTAAATTTAATCACAGAAGCCGACAATTAAACTTATTAAAGTACTTCTCACTTTTTAAATTCCGCCAATGAAGTAAATTTTTTGACAATTTAACGATGAACACGTGAGAAACTGGGCCACAGTCTGAAATTCCCTTGAAAAAAGCTGAAACCACACGTCGAAAACGCCCGATTACAACTCATTTCATGTGTGCCGGCGTTCAGCGGCTTGGGCTCAGACTCTGTAGTGCTCTCCTCTTTATTGATTTTTAACTATTGGTAATCAATCGATAAATTTAGCTTGGCTGTGGAGAATAAGAACGAGCACGCAACTAACTTGCAGGCTGAACAGTGTGAGATGGGGCAACGCTACAGTGTTTGTTGGACGTGTGGCGTCATTTTGACGTTGAGTGCGTCAAACTTCTAAAGTGACTACCTTATTGCTGTAATTTATACATTTAGGCTGGTTTGAGTCTGATATTTAACGACCTTTTACCCTTGCTACCACATCACTTGACGATTGTCTTTTTCGACTTCAGCAAAGAGAGATCGTGCCTTGCGTTCCTGAAAACTGCCCAGCCATATTACTATCGCCCTATCATCAGGGTTGAGTTTTAAACCTGGGGAACTATAACCTCACTTCTCACCAAATTCAACCGGTTCATCAATCTTTAGGAGCGCCACGTCGAATCCGTGGTCCGAGAATCCGCGGCGGTAATCAGGGTGAATAATTGCCATTTCCACAATGCGCGAGACCTCCTGCGGGCCATCACTTCGACCCCTCACATGGTCGCCAACTCGAGCACTTATTGTCTGTTCCACCTCCTCTTCCACGGAGAACAACTGACCCACGGGGAGGCTCTTGTAGGGCACGAGTTCACTTAGACAGTGAGCCGCTGTGATGAGCCAATTGGGAGCGATCAGCGTGGCACCGCAGAATGGAGATTCAACAACTGTTGATCGCGACAAACGGCCACCGCTTTCTATTGGACTTACATAAAGCGCAGCCTATTGGATGAGAAAGAACCAATCGATTATTCAGTGACGCCGAACCTGGTACTTGCCTGTTTGTCCAGTGATGTCTTCTTTTCGATCACCTTGGGTGAAACAGTTGGGTTACGCAAGTGTCAATGCCCTGAGTCACTCTACAAGCATGATACGCAAGAATTTTTGACCTGCTTTCGAATCCATTCAATTGAAACACAAGAACATCAAAGTTCCGAAGTAAGGTTGCATGATATTTTCCAAATTGGATTATCAAAATGGACTATGGATTAAAGTTTGAGTTTTAAATTCTCTACCTGGAGCAGTAGTTAGAATTTCTTAAAGCCAGGTCACGTGAAAATGAATTATAGATTTACAGACCCAAGGCCAACACATCTTGCTGACGTCAATTTGACTGACTTGATTATCAGAAATGTTCAGCCAAATCGACCAGCTACTCTTGGAGGAGGATGCCACTTTCGCAGTGGAAACCACTTAAGGTGGTGAAATAACGGTTTAGAAAAACGCAGGTGTCTGTTGGCACAACTCTACACAATGGGCAAATGAATATCCTTATCTGATTTTCAAAAGGGGAAGTCAACACAATCGGCTTGTTGCTTCACATTTGATCAGCCAATTCTTCTTTAAAGGAATTATGATCGACAAAATCTACGTGGGAAGGCTCAAACGCGATTTTACGACAAATGTGACGACTTAACCACAAATTCGTGGGATGTGATTCCAGCAAGACAATGAACTCTCTCCGCCTCCATCGTCATTACAGCTCGGCTGTGCCCGACTGACTTGAAGAGCACGTATTACACATTCAGGGTGGGCATCGTGGTTCTACAGACCATCGCCTTCGTCGTTTACCCATATTTTACACAATTGGGAGATTTCTGTTGAGGTGTTTGGGGAAATTTGCCGCGATGAAAGTGAATTCTCCTCCACACATCAACAAATACTTCTGCCAACCTCTGAGTTATTAAACTCAGCGATAAAAACAATAGCCGCTTCGAGTACGTACTGTCAGTCCGCGTGAGTTTGGTGGAAGGCCAGAATATCAAAACGTATTATCATTGTTACCAACCAAGCTATGATTGGCCTGTTACGTCCATTTTGTTCCTAGTGGAGGCGCTTGAACCAAGCAAACACCACGGTCTTTTGAAATTGTTCCGGTGCAAACCCACCTGCCAAGGCCAGCTATGAGGTCGAGCTTCTTTTCCCCCAAGAATCTTTGTCAAAATGCGACTTCGTTTGGCATTGGGCCGAATTCCACAAGTGCTTGCTTGGTTCAGCAAAATCTTCGAAGGACCTTTAAGAAGGAATATATACACTGAAGAGATCTATCATATTTGCACGATTTGTAAAATGTGGCATATAGCTACTATCCACACCTGTGCTGGTGCATCTGTTGTTCCGCCGGTCCGGCGTGCTCACTCGATAATTATTTTATAAATGGGGAAAACGACTAGAGCTTAAGGAACTTTAGATGACGAACAACTACATATGACATTATTCGACAAAGATCTTGCCTAGTATGATTAACTACTACCTGAATTTAATCACATGCAGCTCAAAGCTCGTTTTCTCGAAATTACCATCTTAAAATTTCGGTTTTATTCGATGAAATAAACAAATGAACGAGAGGAAAGAAATAAATTTAGAGAATGCAACAGGATTTGTGGAAGAACCCCACAGTAATTGTATTTACAAAACAGCGGAACTAGTCATTTTTAACAGCATCCATGGCGGTCATTGAGATCAGTACTCTTATTGGTCAGAAATAAAGCGCGACTTTTAAAATGGTACCTATGACGAATCGGATTGACGACCGGGAGGATGACTTGTTAATTATTTACAATTACGATGTAAACAGATGAAAAAGTTTGATTTTGCTGAATGGAATGCATAGAGTTATCAAGGCTCATCACATCCAAGCTCAAAGCCAACACCTTCAATAATTTACTGTTGGAATCGCCCGTCAATACAGGAAATGCTGTAGCTTTTCTTGAACAATTTCAATTCGGTTCGCAAAATCGTCCAAAGGACAAATAATACCTTTGATTAACATGCCAGTCACGAAAACACGATCTGGTTGCAAAAACGGGTCAATGAGTCATACAACATGACAATCCTGCAAAAATGCAATATCTGCTTCCACAACCAATGTACTCGTTTAGGTAGACTGCTAAACTTTGACAGTTGTCACTACCAGGCTACCTTTGGAGGTGTTTGCGTGGGAATTTGTGTTTAGTTGTCATTTTAGCATCAACATTAATGCTGAGTGCACATGAGGAGAAGAAACCAAATGAGGCAAACGTAGAGATAAACTGCTTGAGAAAAAAATTTGTCTTATGGAACCTTCCCATTCAAAGTTAACTTCGGTTCTGGTTGACCTGGTGACCCCGTCGAAATCAAGGGCTGAAACCAATGCATTCGCATGAAATTTCTCGAATGCACTTCAACGAACAAATCACCAATGTTTGCGGCAGGCAGTTTAACTGCGATAAAGTCTTCTCTTTACGATGCCAATCGTTATCTTTGATCGAAATTGGATCATTTAAAATGAGCCATAACAAACCACATCAAGAAAATTTTTGATTTATTCAATTTAGTGAGGGGATTAGCGTTCCATTACGACACCACAAAGCCCCACACACATGATTTTGAAATCACGAAAAGGCGTTTGGGCTTACTTGGAAAGAATTGTCACATCGTATCAAATTTCCATTTTAATCAAATTAGGTAAAACCCTGTTTCTGTAATCCTGCTGATTTTGTATGAGCCCAGAATCATGAGGTTGCAATGAGGACGACAAAGGCTCACCGGAAAAAAGTGCCAAGAGTTCTATCTTTATTTAAAAGAAAGTGGAGCTCGTTTTTCCCACCAAAATTCGAATTTAATTTCCCGCCGATCCATGTTTGTATAAACTAGCTCCATGTGAAAACAGTTTCCATCATACATTAAGCAAGAGTCGGCGCCCAATAACATAAACAATTTTCAACTCCGGTACATCCACGTCGGTGGGGGGGGTGTTGTGAGGGGTCAGGGGGCGAAGGTGGGGGTGAGGGTACAAGGTGAGACCTCTAACTGACCCCATTTCCTAGTTTCATTATGCGACAGGCGACTTTGTAGATCTAAATCAAATTATGACAATAAACGCTGCATCGCATGTCTGGTAAAATAGCCTGAGATTTTCAGTAGATCCGCTGTTGAGAATAGGCTAGTTTCCAAACGCCTATTCTCTGTTTGTCAATCGTCTGGGACAAACCTCGAGCATTAATCACTTCGTCTGTGTATACCAAAATTACTCATCTACTTCTAGATTTGGCGTTTAAACGCCTTCAAGAGACAAATAATCTAGAATGTTACATTGTGCCAAACATAAGCAGCGATTAGCAATTCAGCTGTCATCAAACACCCCGTGTTACCTAAGAGAACGTATAAAATGCAGCAAGACAAGTTAAAGACAGTGTTCGCATTCACAGACCCCCTTTAGACGCAATCACAAGCGAAGCACTGACCCTACTCACCGTCGCTTTTGCATGCCGTATCGTTTAGGCAGCGTCGAGTCTCCGCGACAAACTGGAAGGGACAACTGTTTGTCTTCAAGAGGTTCGTGATCCTATCCTCGTAGGAGTCGTTGAGACATTGTCGGTAGCGGAACTCGGTGCAGTCCCGGGTGGAGCAGTTGCCCCATTCCGACCAGGGTGTGTAGAGCTCGTTGCGGTAGATGAAGACCTTGCGTTTGAGCACGAGGGTACTCCTGTCGAGGACGTACTGCGCGAAGAACTTGTCCTGCACTGATGGTGGGCTCTGGGCTCCACAGAGGGTTGCTATGGTGACAAGAACGACAGTCCAAACTCGCCACTGCATCCTAGGCTGGCTTTGTGTGGCACCCTGAACGAGGGTTTATATTGTGTCCGAGTCGATGCGCACGCCAGTGTAAACAGTGCGCGCACGAGAGTGTTCGAACAGCCTATCGTAAACAAGTGTCCCCAAACATCAAGTTGACGGCAAGGAAAGTGCATTCACGCTTCCAGCCTCACCAGCACTGAAGGTTTCCAATAAACAGCTCTATGAACCTGTCGCAACGCCATATACCACTAACTACCCAACAAGGATGAAGTCTGCGGAAGGACGGAGAGTCGACCGTTTATTCGAGAACTTGACGAAGCCGTGGTGGTGTGTGGGGTTTGCGCGTGTGTATTTATACCTCGGATGTGTGAGTCATAAATGCGCTAGCATCGAGACGTAGGCGTGAGGTTTATCCAAGATGAATATTAGTGTGAATGAAGGGGGAGTTGAGGATTCGCGCGGCAGGCGCCGTGCTGCGAAAAGGGGAGCCCTGTGTCGGAGGTGGAGCTACCGTATGAATAAACACGATTCACAGCAAACCCATGGATGCCTGTCTGCAAAGTTATGGAAGTTAAGCTGTGTTTGAACTCTACCTGATTGTCTAGTGTACTTTATGATCAGTTCCAATAAACGTGGAAATTTGAAGAGTCCCGATACTATGTCGATTTGGACAACTGCTAAGGTATGTTTGGGGCCCTGTTTGCCAATCACACGGTAGACTCAAACCACCGGCTTGTTGAAGAGAAGACGAGAGGTTAACTATCGGCTTCTAATGTGTAACATTGGCCCAAAATGCTTTCCGTCGCCCAGGCCACTTTAAACACACCATTTAATTCAGCAAATGCCACCTTTTCAGCACCTTTGTCACTCTGCTCATGAGGGGCTTTCGAAAAGCCATTAAGATGTTCTTATCGGCCATGGGAGCGAATAGACCGGACATCCGACTGCCAAACTCCAGTACTCAAGTAAACGACGATTCACCACTGACCTCAGTTACCTTAGCTCCACATGGCCAAGAGAAATAAGCTGGTTGTGCACGGGTGCGTTTTCATTGGTTAGCCGACAAGACCCTACACTGTCCACGTGTGATTAATTATCACATCGCCTTCCGGGTTTGTAAACAAACGGAGTTGCCCTTAAATCTCTCTTGCCTTCTCTGGAATTCACAAACACTCACACAATTTGAGTGCTGGAATGATTTGCGAGCGTTCATTAGGAGTTTACTTTAAACAGCCTTAGCGGTTTGGTCAGAAAAACACATTTACCCAAAGGTAATCAGTGGTTTTGCGAACGCCAAATGCTGCACTGGCCGTGAGGGTTCTTAGTGCACGAATCGGCAAATGTTTATCAGGCATGAGCACAAAAAACTGACTTCAGTCCAATTGAGATTAAACAAAAACGTGTTTATAAAATGCAGATGATCCATTGTTATTGTGTTTAAATTTCATCCATTAACCCCGGTGCTGAAAAGCTTCAGTCATCCACCAAGGCAACGGTAACAGGTGACGTTTTTGCGTCACGAAGCCGTCACGTCGGTGACTGTGATTTTTTATCGGAGTGCACATGCACAGGTTCATCGGGCGACGTATCGTGTCGCGTCAAATATTTACAACCGTAGCACTCACATATCATCAGCAGTGCTGCGTACTTCACGTCTAGAATGCGTGTGTATATGCGGTTTTGGGCCAGTGTGTGTGACCACCTGATTGGCTGGTTGTGAGGACCTGGGCGTGAGGACGTGTGCTCGTAATTGGTTGATTGCTCGGCTTCGAGAATCCTGCCACAACTACCAATGAGCAATCTACCAAACTAGTTTCCATGACCCTTAAAGCCCACAACTGGAACTACATTTATGACGGTTCCTTTTCCTTTCTCCCAGTACGACGTGTTGTGCCAAGATCTGGTTCACTAAATCACCGAAATTTTGAAGTGCTAAAAACCACATTGGTCAGATTTGTGTGCATCTCTCATCTGAATCAATCCAGTTTGTTAATCAGGATTTCGATTTGTGTTTGACGAAACGATGTGCCGAATGCCATCAATGAGTTAGGTCGGATAGGAAAAACCAAATTTGACATGTCGGAACATCCAAAATATTTCCTTCATTTTGTGTCGACTTATTTGCGTGCTCTTCAACATTTATCGCAGTCAAATGCGTCAAAATCAGACGCAGTGATTTCTGTGAGTACACACGGATTTTTCGTCTTTAATAACTCCATCCATTAAAAAGCTTCCTGTGATCTGGATTGGCTAAAAAGTATTTTCGTCCAATCAGTTTGTGTCTGCACCAAATATCGGCCCTGGTAATTGTCTAAGTGAAAATTTGGGTTTCTGAAGCACCCCTGAAGTCTCGTGACCCGGCATTGATGTCTTAATCAATCAGCAGTGTCAACTTAATGCGAATCTTCAACTTTTGAAAAGGAATGTTGCAAAATACAAGACAAGGAAGTCGGCTGGTTTGAGGTCATCTCAGAACAACCAAAAAATAGAATTTTATTTCACTACAGGCCGTACATAAGAACCTAGGAAACAACTGGCATGAATAACCTCCATCAGATAAACGCATAAGCTTGAAATTCGCGCAGTGTGTTTACAAACCTACCACGAATTGCACTTGTAGTGTTAAAAAAACACAGGATTCGCAAATCTACCAAGTATATCTGACCGCATTTTTTCACTACAAAATTTACCACAAAATTGCTAGTGGCTTTTGGGAGGTACATCGGACATCTAGTCAAAGTGAAAAATTTAAAGGGTCATGAATAAAAAGCTGCCCAAATGTTTATTTGAAGTCCTTTTATTACCATAAGTGGTTTAAAACAAAAACAACTTATTCTAATCTATTTTTTTTAACGTAAGCTTGTGGAGAACACAACGAGAGTCAAAATATATTTCCATTTGAATACGAGTGCACGTAATCTTCTTCACACGCAACAGTTCATACACCGCATTAGAAACTGCCATTGTTTCTGGAATGCACACGCTGTAGATGAGAACCTAGTTAAAAGCTGATGGTATTTTATAGAGTTAAGCTAATTAGGCAGCGATTTGCGTAAATTAGTCGGCATGCCATATGCTGTCATCACTTGAAGTGGGATGTTTTGCACTTCTACAAGCAGATTAACACAACCATTCGAAATAAGGGTATTTTTAAAAACATATAACTATCACTTTGCAATAACTTAATTGATATCAACGCTGTTGGACCACAATGCAAAAATATATGGCTTTTCGCACACGTCAAAGCCTCCTACCAAAAGTAGCGTCATACCTTGGACTTTTTTAAATGCCGTCCAGCATTCTCATTCGAGATCAATAATCAAACCAAAAAAAATTCCCAAAAACTTTAAACTTTCTGAAGACATGTGTAGAACTAAATATTTATGATTGTAATTTTGTTTAATTTTTGCTATAGGAGACCCAACTAACAAAAATTAAAATGTTTAAATTGCAAAATTGAAATTAGACCAGAATAATTTGATCATGTCATTAAATAAGCTCAATCCAAACATCTACATCCAATTTTCAGACTTTTTATTGGTAAGGTAGTAAAACGTAGTCAAGGAAAGTCTCCAATAAATTCAAAATCGATGGTATTTTGAAAACTGAACGGAGGGTGAATTAATATACAATCAATTTTCATTGGTTGTCGAGGCCAGTTAAGCAAATTTTGCTGCATTTCAAAGAAGATTTCGCTTTAAGCTAATGTATTCTTACATCTAATCCAATATTATAAACGAAATAATTATTCAGCTGACGAATGTTTAATTATAGTTATTGTCAAACCCAGGGTTACATTTACTAGATACCATAGAAAAGATAAACACGTCCTATTTGATTGACGAACAACGGCTGTTAATTTACCATAAACTAGTTTATCAATTATGAAAGCACTGTAAGAATTGCAGAATTTCATTTATGACAGAGCATTATGGGTAATGTCGTTCAAATAATTCTTTTCATGTCACTAGATTTTTCAAAATTTATTGTGCAAGAAGTAGAGATTTCTAGTGAATAAAACCACTCAATTTAGCATAGATTATTTCCTTTTCGTGCTGTGGTAATATCTGTTCCGAAAAAATGATTTTAAAGCTTAACAGAATTTTATTATTAACTGGCTACACTAATTTGATATTTACTTAATTGACCTTGGAAACTTATTTGTATGTCTCAATTTGGTCGCGTTCGTTTTGATTCCCCCTATTGTTTCCAAGTGTAGTCATTGAGGTGCTTACTTATGTATATGTCAGTTTATATGCCTAACTAAGTAGTGTGATATTGTGTTTTGTAGCCTGAGAATATCTTTTGTGTATTCTCTTTTGTAATGGTTACCTTTTTGGCGCTTTATCAATACTATAGGATCGCCTATGCTTGGAAGAACTGTTAACCTTGTCACTTGTTACTACTATGGGTAATCACATGTCACAGCTTTCATGTTCGACGTATTTTTATAAATTCGTGGATCCCGCTAACCTCGCATGAGGTTTCCCATGTCATGTTATAAGTAATAAGGACTCCGCTCATGCTCATGTGTTTGTACTAATGCTCCATCATTGTTGGTTATCATATTACTGTCACGTTTGCATAGTCATAGTCTGTTGAACGACGAGACCTACGCTATCTTCTATGAAATACATGGTAAGAACGGTTTTAACTTTCTTGAGTTGCAAATTAGATGTTGCAGAATTCCGCCTAACGATGCGGGATTTTGTGGTATTCGCAGGAGCGGAAGTAATTCGCGGATCCCGGTAACATAACTCACGCGTTCAATCTCAACAGTTGATCGGGAGTGCTTGCACCTGAGCGATTATTGTGCCAACTCTTGCCTGTCTCACTTGAGGTTACCCTTTAGATGCCACTATTGAGTGCTAAATTATTTTTTTTTTCGATGCTAACAGATGCTGATAGCCTGAAAGTACGTAACCCGTAGCGTAATTTGTTTTCCACACATTGTGTGATTGCATGATGGTACCATATTTGCTGATCAGTTCAAAGGTTTCGTTCGGTTGGAGTTAACTTAAAGTTTCGAGCTCCGAATAAAGCCACAAATTAAATACTGCAATCTTTCCAGCTGCTCTTAATCTTCAAATCGCATTTCCTAGAGGTAGCTCTCCATGTCAATGCGTACGGCGCCAAAATGCCCTACTTATTTTGAATTGTGCTCTTTTGTAGACTTCAACGAACAGACTTTATCGGAACTGGTCGACGGTGTCGTTCTTCACCTAAAAGAGTGCAAAGTGCAGAAGAAATATACTTCTGTCCCTGTTTCACCAACGGGCTTCCCTTCATGACTTTCATCATCTGACTTGGTTTGACTGCCACTCTCAGTCACAAATCCATCATCGGCATTATCAATGCTCAGGAATTAGGGGGTGTCTTCATTGAAGCAAGTAGAACACGTCCACGCTTTAAGCAAATGGGCAATCCACGTAAGAACACCCAAAAGGGGTCACCACTCCTATCACGGAAGTAAGTGCACAACTGTAGAACAATTGAGATGTTCTCTTTGTTGATTCTAACGCAAATCCAACGATTATGGCGTCGCTTCTGTGACCCAGATTGCCGTTTTCCTCTTCAGATCAAACGAGAATGGAAGTCTCACTGCTCTGGAACCTGTTCGGCATGTTCTCTTCCCCGCGATACCCTACTTTGGCTGCTTACATTTTCACGTTACCAAGTTTGCATTCTGCGTGCTGGCCACTGGTTTGCAGCTTTTAAATTTGTTTCGAACCGTCTGGTGGTTACCGAGGATCAAAACGGACTACCCTATTGTAAGTCAGTCAGAAATTGATCGGCATTCTTAATATCCTTTTCGGGTTGTGACTGGACATCCATTTAAGTTTGCTGTTTGCCGTTTTGTGGTTCTCTGATTGAGTGGCCCTTATGGTATGCTTTATTCATAGTGTTTTGTTTTTCTTTTACAAGGATATTGAAAGAATCGATTTTTACCTGGTGGCCGCTATTCTGCTGATGTTTGTGGCTCCACCTGCTTATGAAGCCTTTCAGCGTGTGAGTTTTTCTCATAAAATAGGGGGTTTAAATTTTTTTTTCAGCGTGAACTTTAGACCTGTTGAGAAGACTTGAACGAGATTTTAAATAATTATTTGCACGGAGTTGGATTTAAGCGTGAACTCCGGTGTAGGCTTCTTGTTGGCTGTTTAATCGAGTCGGGGAAATTGATTTAACCTTGCAAGACTAAACCATGCCCTATTGGTCCCTGTACACACCTTCTCATTGGTTGACCGGTAGTCCGTTATTTCACCCCTTAGTCGGTTTTTTGCTTGTGTAATTTCTAATGTCTGCCAATGCACACTTTCCTGCTTTTCTATCCATGCTTTTGTGTGTCTAGCTTTATTGGCGAACCACCAGTCCAACGAGGTGGTTCGTTTATAGCTTTCTCGGCCTTTCAGGCCTCCTCTCGTGGTGTATCGTCCAAATCCACGTTCTCAAGCACATCAACTACGAGAACTGCAACTTACCTCACAAGTACTTGGGTGTGCTTGTCTTGGTCTGCCAGTGAGTTAGTTTTTTCGTCTAACACCTTCTACTTAGCAAGTATCAGTAGCGAGTTTAAAAATGCCGCTTTTTAGGCCTGTGCTCTTCGCAGTTGTGTATACCTACGGCCCGGTCAAACGGCTACTAACTGTCTCGACAGAAAAGTTGGCGTCGAATCTAGCGGGCGCTAAACCCTGGAGCGCTGTCTCCTCACTGCAGACGTGGACCTCAAGTCTTGGCAAATCGCTGAAGCAATTGCCCAAATTGCGAAAAACCATTCAGGTATTCTGACTTCTACTGTAAACAATAATTCCACACGAGATGATGAGGATGCCCGTACTGTTGGCAAATTCAATGCCTGTTATCGCCTAGACTTCATTATACGTTTGTGATGTACCCATAGAGACGCCACGCATTATTTTGTCTTCGAAAGTGATTTTCACTTCAGAACTGTAAAGCGGATCTTTGTGGAAGACTTTAGCGTCGTGGAAGTTGGAATATGGGGATGAATTTGCCTGCCACCTGTTGGATTTGCTTGGTTTTCTATAATGCGGTTCTCGTGACTTGACTTGACTTCTTGTAGCTGCTCGCACGTCAATACCTTACTCCGGGTACCCCACGCGGCAAATCCACTGCCCACAGCACCCGCGTGCCGCGCTACAGCTCCTTCTTCCCCACGCGCTACGCCACCGTCCACCAGTCCGCGCGATCGCTGCCAGCAGCGCTTCGGCACCACTGCCTCTTCTACACGGCGCGTCCGCCGTCTCGCCAGATGGTCCTGCTGAAGCACAACTGCTCGCGGTGCTCCCCGTTCGCGCAGAATTCGTCGCCCGGCTCACCGAAGGCGTCCAGTGCCGACGGCGGCGGCGGCAAAGGTGCCTCCCAGGCGGTGCGCGAGGAGGCCGAGGTCTTGTGGGCGGACTTCAAGGCGCGGCTAGTCGACACGGTGGTCGGAACCACTGTTTCCACATTCTACGCCACCGTCGTGCCTTGTTTGTTCATTCAAGTTAGTGCTGGCGTTGTCCGTAGAGGCTTTGGGGTGCCCCATACTCACCTGCTCTGCAATTTGCCTTCTCCCCAATTGCGATTACTCACTCCGCACCGTTTGTGGGAAGGTAGTTGGTGGAAGGGAGTGGCAGAGGTAGCTGTAAAATAGCAGTGGTCAGCCAAGAAGGAGGTGGGGGGGGGGGAGGAGGAGGAGGAGCTGGTTAACGCCCCACATCAAGGGCGACGCTTGGGGTTTGCGTCGACCGGCGTAGCCGTGGGGCGTTTGAATTTCCGTTTGTGTTTTGGATGGGCTGGGCTGGTCTACGTGGCACGCCCTACTGCCACTCCGGAAACACTTTATAGCCTCGCCCCTTTAACGCAAGTGTTTAAATTATTCACTCCAGTTGATACGCCTAAATACTGTTCTTTTTTCCCGTCTGATGGGAAAAAAGAACAGTCTTTTTTGGAACCTGTAATGAAACGATGCAGCCGCCAGTCCAGCTAACTTTCTCTTCTTTAGTCGGGCGAGAGCTTTAACTACGATGTGGTGTGGTGCGTGGCCCACGCGCTGCTCTGCGGGTCGACGCTTTTCCTCCTGCACTGGCAGTACCTCCTGCCGCCGAGCTACCTCGATCTGCTGCACCGGTGTGCCGCGCACTTGGGCGGCTGGGAGGTCTGCACCAAGCGCTCGGGCTACGTCAACTGGCAGGCCTGGTCGCAGCTACAGGTGAGTCAAGGTCGCCGGCCACCCTCTCTGTGGGGGTCGTGGCTGTCGCATCTCGGCATGCAATGACTTGCGGCGCGCAGCGGGCGAGCGCAGTTAGCAATCGTGAGCGAACACGACTCAATCGATTTTTTCGTGAACGTACCTCACGCAACTCTGCTCGTTGAGGATCGATACTCAGCGAAGCCCTGCAAACTCCAATACCACGGGTGTCGAAGGTATTGGAGTCACCGATTTGGTGAGATCCCGGAGTCGAAATGTCCGAGTGTCCACGTGGAGATGAAATCAACTGAGAAACGGTGTCGGGCGGGGAGGTCTAGCATAGGTCGTGTCCACATGAAGCAGTACACCCGTTTCCTCAGCCGGAAGTGTCGACTAAAGTTTGAACCCACCGACCAACTGTGGATTGCTCCTCTGGGCCATTAGCTGGCCCAGACACGTTGCTACTGCGTTTCCTAGCCTGGCTTCTTCCTCGTTTTGTTTTCTGCGTTTTTTAGACCTACCCAAGGGGAGCTCGTGTGAAGCATGTTCGTGGGCTCTATCAGGCGGTGGGAGGGTCCAACGCCGCTGATCCGGGCAATTCGTGCCATTCCAGATTATTTGTAAGTGCTAAATCCACACACACACACCTTCCGCTGGCTTCTCATTGCTTAAACCAGCGCGAATGCCATCTGTCGCAGCAGACAACCACAAACTCTCCCGTTCAATGTGCCACTGGCTTCTGACTCTTTGTCGGAGAGTGTCGATCGTGGCCAATTTCCCGCATTAGCGTCACTCACTCGGAAACTGCCTCCCAGACGACCGGTTTTGCTAGTGAAATTGGCCAATTTGACAATTGGGTCGCAAAACACCGCCTTCGCTAGTGCCACTTGACTTGTTGGCGAATTTGGCAATTGAAACTGCGGAGTGTAATTTTACTAGTTGGTCCAAAATTGTTTCAAATGACCAACTCGAGTTCCCTGTTATCAACCTCCAACTATGAAAACCATAAAATGCTCATTTTTGTACAAGACCGAATCCGATTTGATTATGTAGGCGAATAGGGTGAATTGTCCAATTGCTATTTTTGTGTATTAGCGGTCCGCCAGTCTCCCTTCATGATTGGTTGGTTAATTTCCAATAAAATTGATTTGATTTAAGCAACTACCAGCCAATAGGAATCGGACATGTCCCCGTTCCTGTCTATGATCTGCCATAGGAATTGGGGAGATCGCGTTTTGGGGTTCTACTTTCAAGTGACGCCAAATGTCAGATGTGTTTCAGTGGCGTTATTTGTTGGAGCCTTATTACGCTGCTATTTTGGGGAATCCAAATCGATTGAAGACCGATTTGAAACGAGCTTCGACTAATGATGCGGTAACGACCTCCAGAAAATCCGTGGTTTTGGCCTTCATCTTCTTCAAAAACACGTATAATGTGTCTGCCTCGATCGCAGTTAAAATAACAATACGCTGTGGTTTGGACGTTTTTTCATTCAGTATTTTTCTTGATCTTTTCGGACACCTGATTGATTCTTGCATTTTACCAGCGCTCTCGTAATTTGAGGTTGCATTGGACTACGTCAGAATCGGATTGTAGCCAAAATTGCAAATTGTAATGGAAGTGGGCTTTTCTTCAAATCGCCAATTTACGCCGATTCGGCAAACAAACAGCAAACAAGAAAGTTGTAGGTCGGGACTCATTCCCATTGGTTCGAGTCAGGGCCGGAAAACATTATCGATTTTCGTTTGAACATCACGTTGCAACATTTACCGATTAAGGTTGGAATTCATTGGGCAGATTAGAAATTTAAATTTAATCGATCGAACACTAAGTAAGCCACTGACCAACCGAGACATTAAAGCAGATTTACACCTGTTAAACTGGCTTTACATGAACTAACGCCTCTGCGCTAACTTGTCTAGTTTTGGTTCTACTCGCCTACATTCGTCACCGACGTCCTCTGCTGCGTGGCCGTCGCGATTGCGCTGTGCCAGCTGTGCTGCCTGGAGTGGGTCCACGAGTGGTACAAGTTGCTGGGCCTGGCCGCCGTCAGCCCCTTCACCCTCCTCAACCTCTACAGCCTCCTGCGGAACCGCTTCGTCATCTCGTGGGTGTGCGGTGCCAAGAACCCCATCTACGAGTGCTGCAACCCCTCCTGCTCCACTCCCGCTCGCCACGTCCTTTCACCGGCTTGTGCATCCGCCGTCAAAGGCGCCATTAAGGCCTGACTGTCTCTCTCTCTCCTCTTGTTGGCTGTGTTGCAATAGAGAACGTTTGTTTCCTTCCGAATTGGGGTTTCACTGTCGACGCACTGGACTGCTTTGTGGAGTATCCGGGTGTCCACGTGGAGATGAAATCAACTGAGAAACGGTGTCAGGAGGGGAGGTCTAGCTTAGGTCGTGTCCACTTGAAGCCGTTCACCCGTTTCCTCAGCTGGACATCTCGACTGAAGTTTGAGCTCACCGACCGACTGTGGATTGCTCCTCTGGGCCATTAGCCGGCCCAGACACTTTGCCACTACGATTCCTAGCCTGGCTTCCATGTCACAATGCGCGCAAAGCAGATTAAGATCCGTAGAAGGTATTGGAGTCACCCATTTGGTGAGGTCCTGAAGTTGATACAGAAGCTGACATAAGTTTGCAACGGTGTGAGGCGACTGTTTTTCCCCTGGAAATGGTCGAAATAGTGTAACTTATGCGTCCTAACGACAACCTGAGTGGTTTACCTTAAGAACGCAAGAGTCGAGGTGTTTCAGTATATAAGGTAGAATTATGATCGCGGACAGTCGCCGGTATAGTTAGTTTCGTAGGTAGGCTCAAACTTCTACACCAACCATCCGGTTAAAAAGGCCGACTTCTAGTAGTCCAAGGAAAGAGAACTAGCTTCATTAACGAAACTCCACTCAGCGAATGAATTTCTTGGAGTCTGTGTAAACTGCGGAGTCTCAGTTTAATGACACTGGTGAGAAATCAAGGTTTCTGAGGCGTCACAAGATGCGTCAATTCATCGGATAGCTACTCAGAGTTTAGAGTGAGTTGATGTGAACTCGGCGTCATACACATGAGTCATTAGTTCGTGTGAGCGACCCGCAGTGTAATAAGGTCATGTCGAAGCCAAAATGAGCCATTTAACGTGTGCATGCTGCCAACAGACAAGCAATTGGTGCAGCACTACGGCTATCCGCTTCCCGTGTCTAAAAACACGAAAATTCTCGGCGTCTACTTCTGGATTTTGGTGCTTCGACGCTCTATAGTCTACTGCCAGCTCCTACACACCATAAAACATTTGCCTCTCTTTCTATCGTTAAGACGACAACAACAACACTTGGCTGCTCTCGGTTGTAGGCGAGACCAACTGCGTCGTCATAGCAACGCCCAACACAGTAGACGCCCATTTTAGGGTGCGCCCCGCTACCAGGCCGACGTTTCCGTGTAAACACTTGCGGTTGCTAAGACAACCCAACTGGGCATTGTCTTTGATACAAACGGCGAAGAGTAATTACCCGTAGGGGTGTGTGTGTGTGCGTGTGCATTTGGGTTGGCATTCAACCCACCGCTACCAATGTTGGCAGCAGTGCCTGCAGATTGTGACTGAGATGTGCGCGATGTGTGCTGACGTTGCCAGCCCTAGTGTCTGCCCCCTTAGCTTAAACCACTAGCTACTGGCTACACTATCAGCTTCCATACACCGTGTTCCACAAAATTAGTTCACGGGAGTAGTAAAACCCTCTAGCTTTCAGATTTACTGTGCTGTCGAATTGCGACAGGTGATCACGCTGGTGTCATCGGCTGTGGAACCACTGGGTTTGGTCTCGGAAATTCACGGTACACTAGATGAGGTAGATCAGATGTCAGATGGCTCAACTCACTTGTGCTGTGTCTTCTGTGTGAACTATCAGGTCGTAGACATCAGGCCACGGACGTCTTCGGAAGACGATTATGTTCGGGGATTAACATTATTTACGTCTGATTATTCTAGTCCGTGTAAGTGGCGTTTTGTGGGACCTGATTTTTTTCATAGGCGTCTGAAGCATTAATTTGAGTCAAAGAACAAAATAGAACATTTTAAACGGCCTACCTACACCAAAATTCTCGAATACATGCCAGAAATTGAAACGCAATCACAAACGCGAGTCCCACAACCCAACCAACTCCGGTTATTGAGTAAATTTGGTCGTGCAGAAGGAATTAAGCTCACACCGTGAAATAGTGCGTGGTTTATCAGATTTCGTGTGTAGATCATTAGTTTGAACAATGCTGATACGGTTTGTAGGGGTATGTGGATGAAAATACCTGAGGGTAGGTAACCGGAACCCATCGTCAAAGGATTTCCAGAACAGGCCAAGACAAGAACTTGTACAGAGAGCTCAATAGTCTCAGGCAATGGTCCAATTAAGAAAACAGATCCAGGCGGAAGTCGGTTTATGCTCAGGTACGTTTCTGAGCGATCTTGGATCGATGCGTTAGGATTTATTAACGATGAGTTGTTAGCATGAGTAACGATGTAGCCTGCCTGTTGGATGACTTAGATGAGGCAATGTTTAATCTCCTTGGTAGGGCACAATATCTCCAAAAATGGCACCGTTGCAGTGTAAATATTAACTGGACACTTTTGACTCTAAATTTGTGCTGGACAATGGTATAAGATGATAACGATAATCAAACGCCTTGACCTGTTACGGCCCTGCTACTGATCCAAGACAAGTTACATAAGAAAATTATCTTTAGTCTTTTTGAGCTAAATTCACGTATATCGCTCATTCGAAATGTTCAACTCCCTTCACCCATACGACCTGTTTCTCTGTGGATGTGCTAGCAGAAGTCAGACTGACAACGCAAATGCCATCGGAGATCATCTTATTCCGCCTTCTGACCCCGGTCTGCTGAGATGTCGTTGTGGATGAGTCACGTGCCTAGTTCCAGTCGGCATCACGACTGTTGTTGACTAAGCCACGTAGACCTTTTCCGCGTAAGGTCATTAATCGCGCCGACCACTAGATAAACTGCACATTGCATTGTATAGACACGTTAGCCGTGAATTTGCAACGCCTTGTAAAACTTGTACCATCGCAAAAAAAAGAATTGGCCCTAGCGTATTTCAAAAGGGGTTTAGTTTGAAGTTGGGGTATTGGCTTCATTGCTTTTTTGACCAATTGCAAGCCTCCCCAGCTGAGCACTGATGTCGCAGGGTTTAGTTGCCATGTCAACCCCACACGATCTGTGAGAGCCAATCACCGGTGAGTGGGTGCGTGTGCGCGCTCCAACCAAACTGACCAGTGCTCAGGCCTGAGTCGTTGGTTGGGTGGAGGCGTTGGCCCTCGTCTCAGCTGTACATAAAAGGGCCCTTTTGGCTCAACATCAGCGGTACAGGCGTCTTACTTCAAGGTGAGTGGTGATGATTGTGATGAAGTTGTTGACATTTTGTATTTGCACGTTAATGGGATTGAGAATTCACAAGTAGCATCATTTGACTAGCCGAAATCGACGTGTCAAGGATTTCACGCACGGCAAACAGTGTGCTTCGCCAGAAATAATAGCGTCGTACGCCTGTTACGCAGATTTCCACACATTAGAGCTTCGTCTGCGGGCTAGATGTGAGATGAGGTTGTTTAGCAGCCAATCATTAGGACGGGGGCAATTATTCAATCTCCATTGGTCACCGAAGGAACACATATTCTCAGAGCGAAACTACAAAACGGGACTATTAATGACAGAGCGTACTTGAGAGTAGGTAGCTAAAATGCCTCTTGCCTTGTAGACCCTGCCACCCGCCTTGACAAAAGCTCCCAATGGCAGACAAAATGAGGCTTGCCTGCACCGCCTAAGCGACTAACTCCTGCACCTTCACCGAACCGCATCAAAGAGCTGTGACCTTGTAAAGTAACGCGACAACTCCGCCCTTTCCGATTTCCGTCCAAATGCATTCCTACAACCGGACACACACCGACACACCCGATGGCATATCAGTTGTACGAAAAGTTTGTACCTTCACCCTTTCTCTAATTCCACTTGCACCGTATGTTAGGGCTGAATAAAGCCTTTTTACACTTTTTTTTCTCAGTTTCCGAGAATTTTGGCGTCTGGAAATTTTAGAGCCGAACATCCGGTCATTTGGTACTGGAAGCTTGAATGAAGGTAGTCACAATCCTGTTCTACAAACTATTTGCCATGATGAGTTTTTGTTCAAATCTACCGTTTTTCATTTAATGGAGTCAAAATTGTGGGCTGCCGTTATTGCGAAATGCTTTCGCGGTTTCCAAGCTATTTGGAACGAGGCATGCTCAAAAAATGGGACTTGTTTCAGAATTTTGCTGGCATGTTGGTTGCTAGCACTGTTTTCTGGCCACCCAGCGAAATCCGATTAGCTATATTTCAGCAGAATTGAAGTCTTGCGAATGGTCGAGACAGCTATTCTGGGAAGAACCATATCAATTGCGAACCACAAACATGGGATCACTGACTTCAGAATTAGTGAACTGTGTGTTACGTAGTTTAGTGACCGTCAGGCAAATATCAGCCACTGTTTTTCTAATAATGTCTGACACAAACCGCTCTTTCAAACCCATAATTGAAACGAGTCCCCAACCATACCTAAAATTCAAGGCAAAACGTGTTCAAGATGCGTGGTTCTGTGCGTACTTCGTGGATTAGCGCTTTTTGATCAGGTGTTTCTGTGATACACTTCTGCTGGAGTTCATTCAAGTACCGGAAACCACAAAACTCTAGCTTCTCAAGCCACAATTAGAGAATTTAGCAATCGAGTTTAGAAAGCTAGCGACGGTACGTGACATCCCAGTTTGACACGGATCCGAACACCCATCCGAAGGGATCTGCTCAGGCAAATATCCTTTTCAAACTATACAGTTCTTTTTGACATGGAAACATGAGTGTTCATTTGGCGAGGTTTGACGAAGTTTACCGGAAAAGTGGGATTTTTGGGTGTGCTGCACTCCATCCCTTCAGCTGCATGGGTTTTATTACGGCGTACTTGACTCCGAAATGCTGTGGCAGGAGCATTGGTTTGGCGTAAAATGACTTCGCTTTAACTAGAAACTCTTTCAAGTGCTACAGCTAGTTTGCATGTGGAACAACGAAATTCCATTGAAAAAAAATGTGCCAACGTTTGATTGGCCGAGTTAGTGATGCCAGTACGTCTCCAGCAAAAACGAAATCGACCATGAGATTGCCCAATACAAATCGACGAGGCCAAATGTTCAGAATCACAACCTACGCCTTGAAGGTCGTTAGATGGTGTCCCAGAGTACAGGTCTTTGATAATTCTCTGCGCACACAGCACAGGCGCCTTCAACAATCAACTCCGACTAGTGCTGACCACCATACTGGGGACCCAAGCAGGCCGTGTACGACCACAAAACCATCTCGATCAACGGTTTCCCAAACATCCAGCGAATCAAGAGGAATCGATTTCAGATACAAATCATGGAATCCCACACTATCTACGTCAGAGGCACTTGAACGAATGAAGTCGAAGATGCCACTTCGAACCAATCCTACGCAAAACTTGGAGTATATCCGTGCGGTACTTGTTGGCATCTAACACAGATTGGCTTCTCTCAATGCAGGGGACACATTCTAGGTGTGATAATAGATTCCCTGCCCAGTGGCGACTAGGTTAAAAACTGCGCCACTATTAGACATTTATGGTGGAAGTCACCTGATGGTAAAGCCCAGTTTTTTATTCAGCAAAACAACAATTGAATCGACCCCACGTAACCACGCACGCGCGAGGCGTTCAGCTTCACATAGCCGTTACTTTAGTAAACGCTTGTAAACAACATGCTGGCAGGCATAAACAGTCAATTTGTTGGTGAATAGGTTACTACCAAGACGTAAGCTCCACCTTCTTCCATTCCCAAGTTACAAGTTCCATGACCGCTCAGTAGAAGTTTTTGATTGGTTAGTTTGCACCGTGCTTAGCCAATCAACGACCTCTACCCTGGGCTCTCCTGCTTATTCAAAACTGGCTCAACAACAATTTTTGTTTGCCTGTGTCAAGCACCTATGTTTTTTCTATTATGGCGCCAATTTGGTCGCAGTGAGTGGCTTTCTCTCCAAAAAAGCGCTGTTGGGGACACAAACAAAGCATTGAAAAAGAAAAAAAATACTAATAATAATAAATCGAACCCAAGGGGAACAAATTGCGTCGACAGAGTATATATTTACACCAAAATGCAGGAGAGTTAGGGGGTGGAGTTTTCGCGGGCGGGGGAGACACCGCCGACAGTGTCCCCGACAATGCGACGGTAGGCGAGGTCGGCGGCCGCCGACTTGGCCAGACGGTAGGTGCGGCCAATGCCGACGAAGCGTCCCTTCCCGACAACCCGCACACCCACGCGCAGACGTCCGTCCGGTGCGGTTCGGGGTCGTCTACGAGGACAACAAAAAACTTCGGATTACAAAACAAACACGCACCAATGAGAACTCGCCAATTCTAGGCGGACGTCGATTGGACGGAAACAGGGAAATGTAACCTATCGTTTGTTTTCTGTCTTAACTGGTTCTAGGGAGGTACTGTATATTGGCACAGCATCGGTAAACCGTGGTTTCAAAGCCACGGTCACCACTGTTGGAAATTGGGGGTTCATGCACGAAGACAATGCGTCCCAATTCTAGCCCAGCGTTTGCACCAATTCAACTGAAAATGTATGTTTTATGGAGCTAATGAAAGGACATCAGACCAGAACACTCTAAGGGTCAACTCGAGGTTAGACACAAAGTTCTACACAAGACAAACAGGCAACGAAACAACTGACTTGAAGCATTTGAAATCACCGGACACAGTACTGTGAGCCGACATGTACGACTAGTAAACACTCGGCAAAATATTTAATTTTAAGCGTCAATTTTTTTCAAGCCTGCAAGCACAGGGCTCGTGAGTGAATGATGCAAAACCTACTCGAATTTGATCAGATCCGGACACAATTCCAGGAGACGCCGTACTGGGGATTTCGCAACGCACGAAGAATAGCGTTCTATAATAACAATAAAGAGGCATTTTGCCATCAAGGAAACTGCTATTTTGGATTAAACACACAAGAAATTGGTAGAATAAGCGCAACCAATTAGCGACACGAAAACTAGCCAATCAGATACGAGGCAGAGATACGATCGCATTAAGTGCACCACAGGTCGTGCTTAGGACGATTACTTGGTTTTCAACATGAAGATTTGAATGTTGAGAGGATCATTAGATTTCTGCATAGAAGAGGCTCCGGGTGTGATGTGATCATGCATATAATAACTGGTTCACGAAATCGAAAGCATTTAGAATGGGGACATCGCTTTTAGCAGAGCAGTCAGTGCTGTTAGAGCACACAGCAGATGCCGATTCTATGGTAACCACTACGCTACACCACCAGTAGCAGCAGCAATCGCAAGAACCTCGACTGACCTATCCTCTCCCGCATCAGAGGGTAGAAGACCCGCCAGACGGTGTTAAGACAGAGCCCGGAATCGATAAAGACGGCACCGGCAAGGGACTCGAAGATGTCGCCCAGAGCCTTCGGCACCTCCAGCTCCTCGCTGGTCCTCTGAGCGGCCGACGTCTTCGCCTCGTCACCGTCGTCGTGGGCGTTCTAAATGGGACGACAGTGGAGGTTATCTGGATGAATTGGCCTCCAGCACTCGAAAAAATGACCACTTTTCAAGCCGTTCAGCAACAAGTGCGAAATGAACTTAGCTTGAAAGCGAAATTGACCTGCCTTGTTCATCAGTTTGGAGACGGCCTCGGTTTTCTTCTGGTGATCAGAGAGATCCTTTCAACGGGAGAAAAAAACGAGTCGAAACTAAGATTTATCCCAAATTAATGAATTTACAAGTCCGCAGGGTTCTGAGGAGACTGTGAGAATTCAAAAAAAAACAACATTCAACGCCGTGGCATTTTCGAACTTTTATGCTGCATGTTTCTACCAAAAACTCAATCTACAGCATTCCTGAATGCACACGTTCTTGGCCGGTATGATTGGTGCGGTATGCGTTGGAGACAACTTTACCGACCAAGGTCATCAAACATCGACAGTACTTTCATGAGGTGCTTTCGGAAGGGGAAATTGAGCCCAGATATTTGACACCGCAGACGATTCTTCAGCATTAACACACACGCACACTGCATAACTCGCGAGGGCAGTTTTCAGGCGGTACGACATTCGACAGTGACAATGACATCAAGAACTGATTTGGCAATCACTTAGAAATGGGACCAAATTGCGACGTCTTTGCCTGAGATCTTGTTGGAACTTTAGTGATTGACAATATTGATTTGGACATTTGCCCCAAATCAGGACAAAGAAATCTTTGAAAGCAACAAAAACCAAAAAAGCCACACCAGGTTGACGAGAATGTCGAGGTCATCGTGAGCCATCTCCTGCTGGAACCACACGTAGGTGTCGACGATGTGCGTGAGGCTCGGCGAGGCGGCGCGCAGGAAGGTGTGGAGTCGCCAGCGCACCGCCAGCGCCCCGAAGATGTTGTTGTTCACGAGGGCCGACCGCAGGTCGGTGAGCACGCCGGGCGTGTGGTTGGCCTCCTCGTCGGCGTAGAGAAAGCGCGTCACCACGTAGTCCAACACCGCGTCCCCCAGGAACTCCAGACGCTCGTAGCCCGCGCCCACCCCGCCCTCCGCAACGTCGCCGTCGCCTGCCGACGGACAGACGTGGAGGTCGCGGCACGTGGAGTGCGTGAAGGCCTCAAGTAAAACCAGGAGCCAATGAATTAGCGATTCTTGTGTGGGCTGATGGCTTCAAGCAGTTAAGAAGCGGTCTGTTCCGTTTCTGAGAGTTCGATGCACGTCTTAGACACCAGTAACTACGCAAACTTGACAAGCCAGTGGGTGCACCGCTTACAAATTTTCGTCTGCTTTTCGATCAATGGTACGAAAAATCAATACTAAACGATGCGCTTGAAAGTCGAGGAAAGGAAACAACAAATATTTCGATTACTCGTTTTCGCAGTCTAGAGGGGAACAATCTTGTGAACCGCAATAATCCCAAAATTGTATAAAAAACTAATCGCGTCACAGACTCTCTGTTATCTTTTAAAACTGCCATCGAGTGGCAGAAGTGGTTTGTATTTTGATCGTATGGTTTTTTCGGTTAATAATTTCCATGCTGACCACACGCCTATTTAATCACGCGTAAAACCAAGTCCCAGATGGCAAAATCTGGTGTGTACACTCGATTTCAACACACACACGCCCGCGACCCATCGACTTTCTTGATGGTGCGCGTTAGCAAATTTGAATGCAGACAGAAGACAACACACCTCAAGCAGCAGTCGGCGACTCCTGAACTTGTAGCCGATAATTTCCTCCAGCTGGGGGAACCGACCGGCGTGGTAGAGACTCAGAACGACACTCTCGTCGTCGGCGCTCAGGTGTTCCTCTGGAGGGGACCACGGTGAACCGGTGGTGCGCATTTCGCCTAGGTGGGTTCAAGAAAGTCACGTGGTCAGTGATTGATCCCCCCCCCGGACATACGCGATCTCACAGTCGTGGCAGCACTCGAATCCATTTTTAATGACCCTCACGACGGTTCACGTGTGACCAGTCTGTGGATTTAGCCGTAACTCCCAGATTCCGTCGTAATAAGTCCCACCACAAGACCTTTTTGCTACGTCAGCGGACTGTGCCAAGGTCACAGGCACCCTGCCGCTCACGGCTTATCGTCCCTAGGATTTCGTGTACACATGGCAAGTCAAGCATTGTTTTGGAAGATCGTCAATCAACAATTTCCGATCCTTCAATCTCTCTTTCCTCTGTTGAAATGACTCTTTCCATGACTTGTCCAGCCAGTCTGAACACTAAAAATCGGAATCCTACTGAAGCATAACACAAAAGGACAATCAGAGGAAAATAAAGGGAGGGGAACAAGGGACAGGGGGAGACAACAAACCCTCAGGGGGGAGACACTCAACCCCAAACCACTGAAGCACCTTCAACGCGGACCGTTCGCCTCGCTCGGTGAGGTAACAGCCGACAACAGCCTCCACGCAGTCCGCTATCGCCTTGTTGGCCAGAAATTGGTGCGTCATTGCACAGCACTGGCCGGCGCGTCTGTAAGGCAAGCAAAGAGGTAAACAATGATCAGTGCTAGTCGGCGCGGCACAAACCAATGCCTGTGGCTTCAAGTTTGCCACAAAATTGAGGAGGTATTAAGATGCAAATCGGCGCGATTCTTGGAAAGAAACGACCTGTTGTGAATCGTGTTAATCCACACCCCACAATCCGGTTGCTCCACCTCCGACACAGGGTTCCCTTTTTCGCAGCATGTCGCCTGCCGCGCGGATCCTCAACTCCCCACTCATTAGCGCGAATAGTTACCTTGGATTATCCTCACACCTAGGTCTCGATGTTAGCGCATGTGTGACTCACACATCCGAGGTATAAATACACACGCGCAAACCCCACACATGACACAACGACACCAATGCGGTTGAGCTCTGAAGTAAACGGTGGTGTACACGTCCGCCCCGGTCTTTTTCTTCATCGCGGGTATCGGGGAAGTGTAATCGGGCCAGGGTTAATTCCGTGGCCCCGGCGTGGTTCAAGACCACATGCTGGGGCCCTCAATAGGCCCTTCGATGGCGTTCACATACCAACAAACTTCATAACACTGAAAATGGTTAGTTGAGAGGCCGATATTGGCTTAACGGAAGCCCCCAATACAGAAAATTCCGGCGTCAGGTTGGCAGGAAAGTGACCTCGATTATTCTGGGTCTGCTTCGATATGGATTTTGCCTTTTCGGTCATTTTTAGCCATCGTTAGGGGCAAAATGCACATATGACCCAGAACGAAGCTTACCACGGGGTTCAAACCGACCGTGCTTGATGTCAATTTATCCATTTCCAAAACCACAGAAAATGCCGATGCTCTAATCGAGCAGTTGAAGGTGATGATGCCCAAAGCACAGCAGTGTGCGAGAGAATATGTAGATGTTATAGGAAATCGAACATTTCGTGACACGATTCATCACTGCTGATCAGCAATGGATCGGCCACAGTAACGCACGCCACAGCATCGAGAACAAAATCAAAAACTTGTCGATTTGCTCTGGGGGGGGGCAATGGAATCAGCCAATGACGTACGAATTGGAGGCCACACAGTCGCCGTCGCGATTCGCGCTGGGCAGATCGCCAACACAGACGTAGCCGGGAGGCACCCAGTTCTCGTGGGGCTCGAACGCCACGCCCACAATCCGACCAGGCAGTCGCCTCAGACACCCCAGACGGTAGAGGTTCGTGTTGCCAACCTGCAGCAACGCAAACAACAGCTTCAGGACGAGGGGATGTGGTTTGTGTGAGTGAGTTGAGAGGTGGTTACTAGAAAACAGTGGTGAAATGATGCAGAGCGATCACTCCATCCACCGCGCCATGTCGAAGACAAAGGGACTCGACGTACCAGTCATTCTCGTTAAATAACAATAATCTTCAAGTCAGGTTATGGAATTACACTCGACTGTTCTGCTGTTTCGCAAATTAACCCTGTTGGTGATCTACAACGTCTACTGATTGTTCAGCCAATGAGTAACCAGGTACGGCAGTGATACTGTGTCTTCCACGTTCACATGTCGCTGATGCCCACTTTAAATCACTTAGCGAGACGTTAGACCAATGGCAGCTTACTGAAAACTGTGTCAATGCGTATCAATCCACAACCTCTAAACACATGTGGTGTGTACGGAAAAAGTGAGACATTAGTAAACTACGGAGAATCAACAGGCACTGGAGGAAGACTCAGCGAATGTGGTGCATTCACGAAGGCCAGAAAATCGATTGGCTTACGATGAAACTCCTGAGAGCACTGAGGTAGCCCTCGTGGGCGTCAGGATGGCTGAGGTAGAGGTGGGTGGTGACGGCGAATTTCAGAAAGCTGTCGCCAATCGTCTCGAGGCGCTCGAGGTTGATGAAGTCGGCGGCGCAGAGCATCGTTAGGGACTGCAGAATCATTGTGGGGCTGGGACGGAAGGCTAGCGGATCCTAAAGGGGGAAAGGCAAGCGGGAATGACCAGGACTAGATTTGATTGTCACGCCAGCACACACACACACCCACCCACCCACCTCGGAACAGTCGCCGATGTCGTCATCTTCAGGAGGGAAGAACCGCACACCGTTGGCGCGGTCTTCGAAACTGTCCACACTAGCTGCGTCCTCCTCGCTCTCCTCGGCCTCGTCGACGTCTGGCTCGACGGGGATGGATTCCTCGAGCAGCTTCTCCAGCACCGAGGTGGAGGCACCAACCACCGCACTGGGAACTTCTTTGGAGGTGGACAAGGTGAGACGCACCACGTCGGGGTCGGACGTGGTTGGCGGCGACTCGGGCACGGCGGGGAGGGGTGGCGGGTGCGCCGACGGGATGTAGGGACACCGCAGCGCCGCGAAGGGTCTGTCCGAGGTGGTGGCGGCCGCCGCCGGCGGCGTCTGAGCACCCAGACCCGTGGACCGGGCGATCTCGTTGCGCAGATCATCCGCCAGCAGGAGGTGGTGCAGTCGGTAGAGCACGCTAGGCAGACAGATGGCCTTCTGCCAGACTGGAACAAAACAAAAACCAAGAGCTGGAGTTCCCACGGGTGGGACGACAACGACGACAACAGAAAGGATCTGTGAATGCACGCTGTGAAACGCGCGCCAACACGTCAGCGTGAGGCGAATTTAGCATTCTGTGGCCCAAATATAGGTGGGGGGGGGCCAAGTTGACCGAAAATCGATATTTTGACGTAACTCCCGGCAGAGGGAGATAAACAAAGAGGTGTACTTGGTCGATAAACGAGCATATTGGGCAGAAGTGGTACGTCAAATTTACAAGTCCACAAGCGTTTACGAATGGATAGACACCACGCAAAGTGAGCAAATGATTAGGATTTCAAGCGTAACACACACTCGACACTCCACAAAGCTGGCGTTGGAGCGTTTGCTTTCAAGTTGTCACAAGGAGCACCTTCTGACGTCTTCGCAAGCTAGTTGCGGAATTCCACATGTGGTAATGCAAGTACGCAGTGATGTGAGGTTATGGCGCTATTCACTGAACCCAGAACGTCACCAGATTACCATCGCCTGTAGCGTGAGGACGTGAGCGCAAACTGACAAGTTGGAATGCTCGCTCAACGGCCTCCTTCTACCATGAAGGCGACGAGGAAGAGGCGTTTCTCATCTTAGTACACACACACGCGCAACTTGCTATTTAACAGTGCAAAATCACACCACGGCTGAGTTAGTTATCGGTAGTTGAATTCCACCGACCCCTGCACCGCGACCTGACCTTGGGAGCTAAACTACAGACGATGATGATGGTGATGATGCTGTCAGAGCCATTCGTGGACGTTACGGTGAAGATCACACTGCATCCAAATCTCGCCAAATCCAGTTCAAAGCGATGGCAGCATGGGGGTGTTGCGAGAACGCTCATCTCGCGCCGAATTTGATCGATATAGGAACTTCAACTCGCGACGCCACCAACCAATCAGGCGCACGAGCACTAACCCAGTGGAGTCGATTTAATCAACAGTGAAATGCACCATTTGTGGTCGGTCTGTGCCCCGACCTAAGAACTGTGCCAACGGTGTCATTGTTAACGCAGTTCCCCTAACCACGCCACTCCAGTTGGTGAGTCACCTACAGCACCCTACTGACGGCCACATCTGTTCTAATCCGCTTCATCCATCAGGTCTAGGCCATCGCTGACTAATATATGTGGGTGCATTCAGACAGGTCACTCGGCTTTTGGCTGAGACATCAAAATCTCCCTGAATGAGGCCCCGCCATGTCTTGCATTAGCGTGGGAGGGTGAGGTGGCCTGCGTCTGATAAGGGATTTGGGGGGAAACGTAACAACCACCTCCAGCACCCATTCGAGTATATATAACCCCCTCCCTCCCTCCCCCCTAGCCCCCCCCACACAGAACAATGTCACTGGACTTTGACTCGAGACTCCACACCGAGAGCGCGCAAGACACAACGCACCCGTGGCAGGCAAGGGGTGACGATGGCAGAGTTCAGGAATGAGGAGCTGCTTGTGGCGCTGATGCTGGCGCAGCTGCTGCTCCCCGGAGTCGTCAGCCGCCGCGGGGGCTGGCTTGGCCGGCTTCTTCGCGAGGTGCTTCTTGTAGGAGCGCGGAACCACCAGCCCGAGGCGAAGCGGCGTGTAGCCGGCGTCGAGCAGGGGCTGGTCCGTGCTCGTGAGGTGCATGGCGTACTTGCAGGCGTAGTAGTCAGCGAAGTTGGCGTACTGCTTCGAGGGAAACTCCGTCATGGGACTCCGGTCGTCTCTATGAGGGGACAGACAACATCGTTTTTTCGTTTGAATACATCAGAGCAACTCGGTGAGGAGTGCGTGCGTGCGAGGACTAAAATGGGGCTTACGAGATGCGCACCACGTAATATCGCGGTGGCTGTTCGACGTTGCGATACGTCGGCGTGACGACGGCGTTGACAAAGTCCTCGAAGAGAAAGTGGAAGACGGGTTTTGGCTTGGGCGACTGGGTGGTGTGGGAGAGGAGTTCTGCCAGGGGCATCGGCGTCTTCGGCAGGGCAGGAAGTGCGAGCCGCGTTCGCACGGGCAGGCGACAGTCACCCACACTGGGCACGTAGGAGGCCACAACCGTGTTCACCAGGTCCCAGTCGATGTCTGCGACGTCTACGAGGTACAAAAAGGTGTTTAGTGGGTGGCCCTGAAGGGGCAAAAGTGATTGTGGTGGTGGTGGAATTCGCGGTGGTAGTAGTTGCTGATTCAGATACAACCCGATGCTGAATTAGTATTAAGTAGGCCATTCTTTGCATCATTTTAAAACGAACTACGAACAGTTACTGATGAAATGAATAGTAAATTTAAACATTAAGTCATCATAAACGAAAAACCTCAACGACGCCGCCTACATTCGAGAAACGCTCGAAGGGCATTTACACGAAAACTCGGCCCACGTTCAACAGGTGGCTGAAATGCAAATTAAGTAGTACAGTCATCGACACTCGGAACATAGGAAGCCACAACCGTGTCTGCAATGTCTACGAGGTATAAAAAAGTCTTGAGTGGGTGGCCATGAAGGGGCAAAAGTGGTGGTGGTGGTGGTGGCGGTGGTGAAAGTGGAGGTGGAATTTGCGGTGGTAGTGGTAGCTAAATAGAAATCGAGTGAAGCCGTTTAACATGCACTTCCCTTGAAATACGATAAAGCCCATTTCAACTAACTACTCCTCCTCCTCCTTCTTCTTACATGGATACAGTTAATAGGGAAACGTCCCGATGGCGCCGTGTGCTGTTACGCAAGCTGAGTTAGACGCGAGTCGATGCTGAAATGGTACTAAGTAGGCCATTTCTTGCATCATTTTAAAACGAACTGCGAACAGTTTGTGGTGAAGTTAATAATCAATCTAAACATCGAGTCATTATAGGCGACAGCCTTAACGACGCCGCCTACACTCGAGAAACGGGAGAAGAGCATTCAGACGAAAAGTCGGCCCACGCTCAACAGGTGGCTGAAATGCCAAATAAGTAGTACAGTAAAACGACCTAGCATTCGGGTGGTTTACCTTTGAGCACAGGCACGATGAGGATCTGCGAGTAGGCGTTGGGGAGGTCGAATTTAACGAGACAGTCCTTTTCGAAACGCAGTGCCGTCTAAATAAGGCGAAAACGCAGTTCTCAGGGTACTTAAATTGGGCCAATCACGATGAATTCCGAGTGAAAATCTTGCCTTGAACAAGAGGCGATGGAAACGCGAAAGCAAGTCCAATTGCGCGCGATCCAGCGGTGGTGTTTTGCGAGGCCTTGCGAGTGCATCCACGCTTGAACTACCGGTTGGCGACCAGAAATCGATGATATTCACCGTCTCCTCGCCAGAACGTGTGAAGATGGAGAATTCGGGGATCTGGAGTAGGCAGACCACGACAAACAAGCGTTAGAATTGTTTACCAAATGAGACCTCTTCGTGAAATTTATTGTTATGCACCACAGCGACATTCGCCTTCAAGCCAACCAACCACAGTGGCCTGAGTTGCAAGGTCAGAAGTGATTGGTGGGGAGAATCACAGACTGGCCTATCAGGTCAATACACAACAGGCTGAAAATCGTTAATAGCACAATTCGAGGTTTGGGTATCGACGGCGACAACCAATCAACGTACACAGGGAAGTGATTTGGCCGAGAGCAAGCCGAACCCGAGGTTCTCGTTTTCCGGGTAGAAATCGATATACGATGTGCCCGCTTGTCTGTTCTGTTCCCATTGAAGGCGACCCAGCGGTGTATCCAGGTGACACAGATCGATAAAGTAGAGGTAATTGCTGCTTCCAGTTGCGTCAACTACGGGCAAGCACTTGGAGAGCTGACCTGGCACCTAAATACAAAAATAGACCCCAAGATGAGTAAGGGGCAAGGCGATAGTTCAATAACATATCTACTCACATCAATTAAGTAGCTCTGTTTTTGTCGGGGCGGGGAACGGCCGCGAGAGGCGGAACGGCTCAGCGGTGGGCACTTAGTCGAGGGCTGGGCATTCTTCAAAATGGGCCTACCGCGACTATCCACCTCGCCACACGCAAACAGCAACTGGCCGACACGAATCGCCGCTGAGAACTTGGCCAACTTCTTGCACGCCAGCCAGTCACCCTACAAGAGAGGCACGGGGGTTGAGTAGGTGACAAAAACTCTACTAATAGTATAATTAGTGGTAGTGGTATTACACATAATACGCGAATGTGATAATAATCTGGAAAATTATTAGTACTAATTATACTGGTAGTAGTCGTGACAGTAGACATCGCACAAAGGCGGACTCACCCGAACAACCTTCCTGACGGGCGAGTTGATTGGCAGCTGAATGACGCACTGGTAGATGGTGGTGGAGGGGCAAGCGTGGGAGGGGTCGGGGAACGCACTGAGGGAACCCGCGCGTTCGATGAGGCGCCAACGCGGCGCCAGACGTGTCATGGAGTTGCACGGCAACCGCGCGCAGTAGTGGTTCACCACGTCGATGGCTTTGCTTGCGCTCTTCTGCAAACACACAATCAAAAATCGATAATTACTTGCTGCGTACACATGCGATTCCGATATCTATTAAAATCGATGAATGTAGACTGGCAACGTATTTAATTAGTAGTACCCAAATTGCATTACCTGACGGAAATGTAACCTAGTAGATTCCACTTTGAACAAGTACTCGACGCGCTCCAATGAATTTAAACAAATGCTGGTTCAAGGTCACTTGGACTCTACCAATCAGGTGAGTGCATGGGGAACATCGATGAGAAATGGGCACAATCAACTCTGAACTCCTTAGAGAAGTTCAAACACTCACACTACCATTTCCACTGCACATAAACTAGTTTTCGTAAACGTTGCTGCTACCCCCTCCCCCCGGATGATAATAAGATCAACCAGAACTTAATCCACGGCACATTTTCCCCTTTGTAAAGAACAAGAAACGGCGAAATCGCTTGACAGTGCAGTTGGCTTGGAATGGGACAAGGCATTACGCTTCTGGGACATAAGGGGAGTACTTGACGAAGACGCACTTGCCCAATACCGGTGACCTTCAAGCACCACCAACCGCTGACCTTCCAGTCAGCACCCAGCGTTTCGGGAAGCTGGCATGACCCCTAGAGGTCATTCCTGGGTGTGTTTTTGTGTAAAAGGCGCTTGACAGAACTACGGTGTACTCTGATCAGCTAAAATCGGTTGAAAGTGCGGCAACACCACTGGAATCACTTGTCATGGAAGTACCACGCACAACTCAAAGCCTCGTGGATGTCCTCATGCAGTCTACACACACACACACACATTCAGGAGACCCACGTTTGGAAGGAAGGAGAAGTGCGAGTCCAGGAAATCGGGATCCACGTCGTGTTCGCCGAGAGCCAGCTGGAAGTTGCGGCATCGTTGAATCAGCATCCGCTCCACCTCGTGGAACCTGGAGAAAGAAGGAAACTCGCAGTTTACCACCGAACAGGAAGAAGCGGTAGATGAGCCAGCTACATTGAACCTGTTGTGAATCGTGTTTATTCACACCCCACAATCCGGTCGCTCTACCTCCGACACAGGGTTCCCTTTTTCGCAGCATGTCAACAGCCGTGCGGATCCTCAACTCCCCACTCATTAGCGCGAATAGTTACCTTGGATTATCCTCACACCTAGGTCTCGATGTTAGCGCATGTATGACTCACACATCCGAGGTATAAATACACACGCGCAAACCCCACACATGACACAACGACACCATTGCGGTTGAGCTCTGAAGCAAACGGTGGTGTACACGTCCTTTCTGGTCTTTTTCTTCATCGAGGGCATCAGGGAAACGTAATCGGGCCAGGGTTAATTCCGTGGCCCCGGCGTGGTTCAAGACCACATGCTGGGGCCCACAACGAGTTGCCAGACAAATCGAAAGCGTCTATCGCGTGACCTTCGACGCCTCTTTAATGACCCACGACACTGAAAGATCTAGGAATCTAAATTAAACAGAGCGTAGATCAATACTGAGTTAACTCCCCACAGCCACTTGGCAAGACGGCAAGCATTTGACCCAAGGAGACATCTTGTAATCGACTAAATGCTTGACATGTTAGAGAATAATCAACCATTCGCAACCACTCAGGTAACCGACAACGTAGTTTTTGAGTAACGCTGCCGCAACACAATGACACTTGGAGGGAATGAGCTACGAGCAACATTTCAACGAATCTGACACCTTGAAGGACGAAGTTGCAGACAAAATGGACCCTTCGTGGTTTTCGCAGTTTGAAATTAGGCAGTTTAGCTAACAGGGGACTCGGATTATCGATTCGTGTCGGCAAATTTAGGACCAATTAAGCTGACGTTCACTCGGGTTATCGATTCGTGTAGGGGCATTTCGAACCAATCAAGCGGAGGGGTTCACCCACTGTGTGCGCAGCGGCGGGTCGGCGTCGGTTTGGGGATCGGTGAAGTGCACGAAGCGCGCCTTGGCGGTCTTCAGCACGACAAGACGCAGACGCGACTTGGCCACGAGGTAGGAGGCCAGCGACGTCAGGGGGTGGAAGGTAGCGACGAAGTTGCACCGCGGGAGGCTCGCCACCGCCGCCAGACCCGAGTGCGTCGTCACGAGGAGGTTCACCTCGCCGCCGCACCGGAAGTTGGCTACCGTCTGCTCCTGGCTCGTGGTGATGCCACCGGTCAACGGCACCGACGACTTGAAGCGGTCTAAAACGAGGCGAGGGTGGTCATACGCAGCCCGATACACGGCTCAAACACAAATGCAAAAGTGGGAACGAGAAACTCGTGACACAGGCAAACTTCGACTGGTGCACATCACTCGTGCGGGCATCATTTTGACCTGTCCACGAATACGACTCCATTGGGTTATTGCTTGTGCGCCTGATTGGTTGGTGGCATCGCGAGTTTAAGATCCTATATCGATCAAATTCGGCGCGAGAGGAGCACCTTCGCAACATCCTTATGCAGCCATCGCTTTGAACTGGATTTGGCGAGATTTGAATGCAGTGTGATCTTCACCGTAACGTCCACGAATGGCTCTGACATCATCACCACCATCATCATCGTCTGTGGTTTAGCTCCCAAGGTCAGGTCACGGTGCAGGGGTCTGTGGAGTTCAACTACCGAAGACTAACTAAGCCGTGGTGTGATTTTGCACTGTTAAATAGCAAGATGCGCGCGCGTGTGTGTGTGTGTACAAAAATGGGAAGCGCCTTTTCCTTGTCGCCTTCAACGCAGATACGCCAGTCCCATTAACTGGAATAATGGATAATTAAGAGCAAGGGGTAGTTGTCATGGTGACAGAGCATGGCACGCATGTCTTGAGTTAACTCTCCACAGCCACTTGGCAAGACGGCAAGCATTTGACCCAAGTAGACATCTTGTAATCGACTAAATACCTGCCACTTTAGAGAATAATCAAACGTTCGCAACTACTCAGGCAACCGACAACTGTTAATACACAAGTTAATTAATAAAGGCGTCACGCGAGCTGGGAGAGCCTGCGACCGCCCCCAAAACCTACCCGAGGATCCCGGAACGAAGAAGTAGCCGGGACGCACAAACGCCAGCTCCGGGTCCCAGTTGCAGAACTCCTCGATGAAGCGCGGCAACGCGTACGCGGAGAACTGGCACCCGCCGACAAGCACCAGGCCGCAGAGCGGGGGGACGCTCGGAGCGCCGGTGGGGTTGGGCGTCGGTAGCACTCGGTAGACCACTCGGCCGGCGCCCGTGTGCACGGACAAGGCCGAGTCGGAGGAGGCTGAGTCGCGCGACATCACTGAGGAGCACTCGCTGCCTGCAAACAACAGAGAGGGTGCAAGGGGACGCGAGAACCACTAGGGGGCGGGGGGAGGGAGAGGCGTGGCAACAAAACTCACGGCGTCCGTGCTTCTTCCGAGGTTTTCTGCGCCTCGCGCTGGAGCAGAGACCCCTGTGGGGAGAATATTGGAGAATGATCATCAAAAAGAGACAGGGCGGGGGTTTGGGGGAAAAAGGCAGTGAGAGAGGGTGTTACTCACATCGACACATCAGTAGCATCGCCGTCGCTTTCAGCGCTATTCGAACATCGGCCCGAGGAGGACCCAAGAGAAGAGTCGCTGTCAGTGTCATCGACGTCCTCGCCCTCAAAAGCCACCTCCTCCTCCTCATCCTCTGAGGTGTCAAATCCATGTGGAGCCACAAAGCCCGTAGACGACGCGGCTGATCGGCTGCGGTTCCGGAGGCATCGCCTTCCACGCTGGGGACTTCCACGATCATCAGCCTCATCATCATCGGAGCCCGTACGATTCCGAGTGCCTTCGTCACCCCGCACTACGGCTTCAATGCGATAGGAGGCGGTGGGTTTGAGGGTTTTAAGGTGGTCGATCAGTTGCAGCACCCGAGGTGACGCCAGAGAACGCATTTCCTCGCATGTCATGCATCTACAATAAATCGCCTATGCTGTAGCCAATAGTAATCAGTAAATGCACAAGAAATCAGGTTGCGGGTACGGACAATCGCAGCACCAGCTACACTAGCTAGTGGATAGGCGGTTAGCAGACTGCCAACTTACGAGTCGGACGCGGTCTGGAATATGCGCACCACAACGGCCAGTTGCGTGGCCGTGTAGCGCAAGAGTCGGGTGAGGAGGTCGTCGGCGTGTTCCTGTTGCTGGTCAAACTTCAGGTCGTTTTCCGCCGCTCGGGCCTCCAAAGCCGCCGCCCGGGCCCGCTCGAGGCGGTAGAGGTGGCGGAGGAAGACACGGGCGATGAGACAGCCGCAGTAGACGCCCAGGTCACGGGTTATGGCCTCGCACTGGGCGACCGCGCGCAAACAGTAGAAGGGCACGTTGATGAGTCGCCGCCCCGAGGTGAGGACGCTGTCGTCCGTGCCCCCCTCGCCCACCACCCCCACCACCTTCAAGTCGCTGAGGAAGCTGTGCGCCTCGGCGAGCAGACGCAGAACCGTCTGGCGGATGGGGTGCTGCTGATCGCAGGCGGCGGGGTCGTCGCTGCTCAGACAGGCGATCTCCGACTCGAGAGGCTGCGCTCCCAAGGACAGGAGGTTTATGAGCTCGGAGGCAGTCTCCAGACGACAATTCAGACGGTCTTCCAAGGTGCAGATGGTTCGCTTCGCCTAAAAACAGCAAAAGACTGGAAACTACACGAACAAAGCCATACGGAGATGAATCCGGGGTTCAGGTTTCCACCTACACGTCTTCATGCTCGTTACCACTAGCATGAAGATTACAGGCAGCGCTTTTGTCCCAACAGCCACCCGGCATCAGTTCTAGTTGCCATGGCTACATTTTGAACTGCGGGATTCTAAAGCTGAAGATGCTGGCCACAATAAATTATTGAATCAGATTCGTAATGGCACGGATATTCCAATTTACAGTCTACCACGTGCATGCTAGCCATATGTACGACATTCGTGTACTCGATAGTCTGTCTGGAGAACCTTAGTCGCATCATTGTCCACGCAGATAGTGGGTCCGAGTCCCACATCTGAGACGCAACACGATTGGGTGCCGTGAAAACAGATTGGTGGTAACACCGATTTACCACACAAATTGACACTCACTCGTTGGCTGTTCACGCAGACAGGCTGGAAAGGTGGTTCGCTATAGATACTCTCCCGTGGACACCAATTAACTTACCAATAGGTGATCAGTGCAGCTTGATGAGAGGATCGAGGAGGTCAGGCAGAGAATGCGGAAGCCCGTATCGGTGGGCCTGCCAAGATGGAATTGCGCGTAGTGGCTCGCGTCGCGATTCCAAATAGCGTCAATGTCCGCGTCGGTGAGAGCGCCGGGGGTGCCAAAGTTGAGGCCCTGCGGTCCGAACAACCTCTCGTATGGGTGACCAGGCTCAAGGACCCGATGACACTCGTCCAAAATGAGCAGAAATACGCGCTAAAACACAGATGCACCAGTCACATTAACTGGAATAAGGGATAATTAAGAATAGGGGGTAGTTGTCATGGTGACAGAGCATGGCACGCATGTCTTTCTAACGAGTTCAGTGAACTGAAATGAAGGCAGGGCGACGTTTCTAAAACGCACTTAACCTTGAATACTCAACTATCCGAGGGAACTAAGGTAGGTCCAATACATGCAAAGCTGACGTTTACTATTGGTCTCATGACATCATGGGAAAAAAAGTAAACAAACATTATCCAACAGAGAAATGGCTGCTTTTTGTCCGAAATGTTTTAGATAGTTCAAGCGGACATCACTTTCACTAACTTGATGTTTACGAATTAGGCATGAAACTGGGTGGTTTAGCCAGTTGCTACCAACGAAAACAGGTAAATTAAATATTCACAAACAGGTTTACGTTAAGGATCGATAACTTGGTCGAAGAAGGAACTTGGCAGCAGAGTTCAACAGCAGCCCTGGAGGTCAAGAAAAGCACGCCTGGGATTTCAGTCAAGTCGAGTGGATTCGACTGAAGATCGGAGATCGCGGTGGTGGGGACGCCGGTTGCGCGGTGAAAGGATTTCGCGGCCTCATCAACGCAACCATCATCAAGCACCACCAGCATACACTTTCCATAGTTGCAATAGGTGAAGTCCTTGTAGATCGTCTGGGCCATAAACTGAACAGTGATGTTCTCGTCTTTGCAAACAATTGTATTTCGTTCTGCCACAGAATCTAGTAAGTCCAGCTGCAAAACAATGTTTGAAAAGATAAACCAAACACGGACATGTTGAGGTTTGCCCCATTAACAGAAGGGCACGGAATCTCATTACATGAAGACCACAGCAGAGTTACCGTGGAAATCGAAAACAGTGAAGCAAAAGGGATGAACAAGAGACACGTGTGATCGATTTGTATCAATTCTGAATACAACAACAAATTAATGAGTAATATAACCAGCTGAGGTCTAGTAAAGAATATCGACTACCAGTTTAAAAAAACTATCATTTTTTTCACGAGCGTTATGGCATGGATTCATATCAATGAATGAAAAAGGAATCCGATCCTTAGGATTAGATTACATTTGATAACTAAAGTCAACCGTTTGAAGTTGGCTAAAAGTGCATGGTCCGTTATTGCAGAAAATTGCAACTTAATCCTACTGCGCAAAGTGGAATAGTATAGCAAATACGTATAGGAAATTAAAGAATGACAATTACATATGTCACGAGTTTGATACGCTATAGGGTAACCAAATCACTGTAAAGGTACACCAAACACATTTATTTAGTAACAAAAACGTTAATTTGCGAGCCAGTCTACTTTCGCATGTTTGCAAAAGCAACATTACTAGACCCCGAAAAACATCAGACCTCTGTTTGAAATTAAAAATCTGATTAACTATGTAAAAAATTGTTCAAAAATCACTTACGTGATAAGGTCTCGGCAAAAAGTGATTGGGGGGAACGTTTTCCAGGATTTTTCTCACAATTACATGCTTTCGTGGCATTTTCCCTACAACAAAAAAGAAGTTTAGATCTTTTATTGCCACAAATCGATTAAAAAATAGCTACATACGTTCGTTAACTACAGAATGGCCTTTGGCATTGCCAATATCTAGCACATATTTTAAAACTATGGACAATGAGCGCAATTAGTCAAACTTTTATGATAATAAGCGTAAGGACGAAAACATGTAAAATTGAAAAATAAACCAATGATTAGAAAATTTATCAATGCATCATGCAGAATTTGCCCTACAATAGGCAACTGACAAATACGCGCACCTCAAAAAAAACGAGGGTTCAATTATCCACTGTCAATAAAGGATAAAAAAACAATCACCTACATTGGCATGTTCTTAAAAAATTTCCACTTCAGTTGAAACTTTTCAAAATTTTATTAATTTGTTTTTAAAAATCTTGGTCATGTCAGATTGACAGCATTTTGTGAAGTAGAACATTTTTTAATAAGAAAAGTTCGTGAATACCCTTAGAAGCGTCAATGATTTTCAAAGTTACCTTCAAAGGTTGAAATGAGGCTTAAAGGGTAACGTGGCTGCAAAAATTCAACGCACTTTTAGTTGTGTTAAGGTCTTTATAGCAGAAGGTACCTTGAGGAATACTTCGCAATAATGAAAATCTTGCTGACGCATATTTGCATACTGCTACTTGAGTTGCTACTATATGGCACGAACCTCTTACGCTTTTCCACGGATTTAGTTGTGTAAATTCTAAAACGTGTTCAGGTTAGACTTGCCAAACAGATGCAGTAGCCTAACGGAGTTCGGCTGAATTTACAAACGAATTTATATCTGAATAGCAAGATGAACTGAATTAGTCTAAGCTGCAATAAAGTCCGACCAGATAGGGAAAAAGATGAATGTCTTTTTAATTTCACCTAACTTTTTTTGTTATCCTTTACAACCTCATTCGCTTTCCAACGCAACGATTCTATGATAAATAAGTTGCAGAAGACTTCTTTTCCGATGGGTCCATTATCAGGCCAGTTTCTCGTTTAAAAACTCGTTATTTTAGCCTTGTATAGTATCACCTTGAATTGATTTAAGAATTCTAGAATTAGATCAAATAAATGTTATTGAAAATCTGATTTTGCGATTTTAAACCTCATGAAAATAAATAAAAGTTGACTGCGCCCGAGAACTTGTTATTAAATGATCGATGTACAAGTGCAAACAAGGAAATTAATGACACTACCAATTTCGATATCAAACGACGTAAAAAACAAGCTATAACCTGGAGCATGCATTTCAGGTCAATACAGAAGGTGTTACAACTGTGTACTATTTTTTTGCAGAAATATTATTTAGAAAATGCTTACAATACTTGATTTAATCAAGTCTATAAGAGAAGTCTTTAAGTATTTTTATTTGTAATGACTGATGCCACCTTCTGTTAAAACATATTAACTGCACCAATATTATAAAGAAGCACTTTCTTACATATATTTCCTTACCTAAAATGCAAATAAGATTTTAAAATTAATTGGCATGCAACATACAATGCCTAAAGCTTAAAAACCTTTCTAAGCTTGCTGTAGCCCATTTGTTTACTTCCTAAAGATTGCAAACTAATATCAAAATAAGTTTGCGTCTCCCGGCAATGGAAATTTTCTAGTGAGTGTAATTAGGAACAACAAATTGGGCAGTCATAATAAGCGAATTATACTTTATTAATTAGGTTTTTTCTTAAAAAGGCATGGTTTTCATAAAAAATCAGTTGCACTTCCTTTTGTCTATGTTTTAAAAAGATTTTATTTGGCGGTGCTTCTTAAAGTCAAGGTTGCTCTGATTTGGATTGCGTGAGCAGAGGGGTCAATTCACAAAGCATGACTGCTCTATTGGAAGATATTTTTGACGTCAAGGACATTGACAAAGATGGAAAAAAGTTTGATGGAGTATCTCGTATATTCGGCGAAAGCGAGTCCTTTAAAATGGGTCTCATTCTTGATATCAATTCCCATATTTACCCAATGATCAAGGGAGACAAGTTTCGACTGGTGTTGACTAAATCCTTGCTAAATGGTGTTGGACCTGAAGTCGGTGACGCCGATGACGACGAAGATGCTACTGAGGTATTAGATGGCCGTTTAGATGAGAGCAAAATGGCCGAATTCGATTATGTTTGTTATGGGAAGATTTATCGTGTTGAGAGTCAAGACGGATCCGAGGATTGCAGCAGACTTGCATGCTACGTTTCCTTTGGGGGCTTGTTAATGCGGCTTACCGGGGATGCAAGTAATCTTGAGGGATTTCGTGTCGGTAAACACTTATATTTAATGATGAAGAAACTCGCATTTTGAATTTTCCTTTGCCTTGTGTATAAATATTCCGCAGCAAGCCTATTCTTCCTATTTATTGTGGGCTTTTTGTAAAATTGTGCCACCGTCTTTGTTTTTCTTCCCATAGTGTATTAGAAGGCATAACATAGGTTGTAAAATATTTTGTTCTTGAAAATGGAAAATTATTTTCTTTTTGGTTATTATTGCTGCTTCTCTAAGAGTTTAGGACGTGGCTAAATTCCGCCCTCCTAGGTCAATTTGTCACTAGATAGAATTCCTCTTCTGGAAATCTCTGGATGTCAATTTTTTTATGAATTAAATTGGATGTGCGCTCTAGCAATTTTGCACTCCTAATGATGAATCTTTGTACGTCGCTATCCCTCCTAGGTTAGGAGTCAGGTCTCCACTTAGTCTCAGAAGGCATCCCGTTTCTTCGTTTTTACGGTTTTTGCTTTTAATCGACGATGTCGAGCTCTTGTTTGACGTTGGTGTGACCTCACCTCGATGTGCTCTTTTGAGCGCACTTTGGTTTCTAGCTTGTATCATCGTCTAATGGTATTTGCCGGATTTGTTTGTGGGAGTAGGCGCTTTATTGTCCGGTGAAATTATGTATATCCTTAATAAGTGAAACCTATTTTCGGTACTTCGATACGTCGCCATCTCGAATGATATGGGCTGCAACCTTATTTGCTGTTTTTTCGTTTCGGAGAAAATATTAACTGGCCCTGGCCACCATAGCTTTTATCTAAATTGTGTTATCTTTTTTTAAAAATTACGTTTGCGCAACGATTAATGGTGTGTGACGTGTTACGAAGTTCATGAATCAAGGAAGTCAGTGGACGCTGTATGAAATAGTTGAGCATTGCACATCTGAACAGATGCGCTACGCGTGGCTGTGTTTCCGTTAAATGGACCGAAGTGATCTCTACCGAATTGGCATAAGTTGTGCATCTTGGCTGAGATTCCCGAAATTCGTATTAAGTGGCGGGAGATTTGAGTCAGCTGAAGGGGGCCTGTCAGTCAGTTTATCGGAAGAGCGGGGTTGGATTGGTACGGGCTGTTAACTAAAGGTTTTACAGCGTAGTTCTAAGTCGCTCAAAGCGGGTCTGCGTTTTTTAATTGCACGCATGGCGTTGCTCCGCGTTTCACAAATCACAACCAATTTATTAAAACAGCATCAACGGAAGTTGGTTAAAAAAAACAAGTATTTCCTTTTCACATCTGTCCCTTAGTATATATCTAATCCCATGAGAATATGGCCTTCATATGTTACCTTAGAAAATTGTATTATTCAGAGAAATACAGAAGCAGAATGCTGCACGTCGTGTTTAGATCAAGAAAAAGTGGCAGATGAGTCGAAACATAAAAACTTATAGGTCTTTCGTGTTTACAAAATGCTTTAATCTATCGACGAATACAAAACTTGGAGAGGAAAATAGCTTTTTCATAGACGAATGCCGGTTGATTCATCAGGCGCACTTCATAGGTCAGAGATTGAGCAGGTCTGCATAGTCGAAAATAAAGAAAAAGTCTGGTATTGTGAGGGAAACTATGTGTTAGAAGTTTAGAATATCAGGAGGGCGGAGAGAACCCAATGCATTGGTTGACCTTGTATCGGTAGGGGAGCCCATAGTGTGGGATAAATTTGTCACAGATATCACTAACAGTAAAGACGAGGTATTATGAGGGGAATGGGATTTAATCGCCCTTTCTGTTTGGCCGTGGACGTATTGATTTTTATCCGTCGTCACACGCCCATTGCATCGCAGTGTTCCTTGAAGAGCTGACTCTCGAAATTATGTCCTTGGTCAGAGTGGATAGTAACTGAGAAGACGCAGAGTTATACCTGGGTTCCTGCATGGCGACGAGGGCTACTTTGATCGACACATCAACAAATTTAGTTTGCACAGAGTGGCAAAGCTAATTGTGAGGGTTCGTAAGTGGGGTGGACGACGTCTATTGGCAACTACCTGGCAGGTAAGAAAGTTGGATTTATAGAGGAAAAAAGAACATTGTCGTGACTGAGAGGGTTGTAGGAGAACAACAATAGTAAATGCGCTCCCAGATTTTAATCAATTATTTACTCGAGTATGAACAATTCGAAAGATTCAGCAATAGAATTCAAATATCAACAACCCATAAAAATTAAATTGCAAACGTTATTGTCACAATAGTTTTGCAAAAAAATTTTGCTATTTATAGTCAAAATGACAAACATATTACACTGAAAAAAACTACAGACAGGTCGCAGCTAATCCTGTGTTACACTTCATTTTATAACCCTTTTTATCTAGAAAACCTAAATAACTTCTTATAGGATTTGTATTTGAGCCTTATTAAGCTCATTAAGTCGTGTAAATTACGCCAATGTGCACAAAATTGACCTTGAATAAGTAGTTACAGTAACAAAGTTTGCCGCCTTTTTAAATATCAAGTGTACTTGTTCTGTGAGTATTATGTTGCATATTATGAGCCATCTATATTATCAATAAATGAAGGTCTTTTTGTGATATCATTAAAATTAATTGATTTTTTTTTAAAATTTTGTTGCTTTTCCATGAAGGCTAATTCCTCCCCGGAAATAACAATATCTTAAAAGTATTTATTGATGCTACTCACTAATAAAGAATGCAAACCCTTATTTCAGATTGGCATCAAGAAGTCTATCTTAAATAATGGCGATTTTAGAAAGACCAAAGAATTCTTTGTGTTGCATTACGTAGTTCGAAAGTTTTATTTTAAGCATTTAATATAAAATCGCATATATAAATTGATGGTTCGGTCTAAATTACCAGCAGTTGGTACTTCGTCGTGGATTAAGTTTTGGCGAAATTGCAAACATTACAGTTGTTATCGTTTTATATAATTAAAGTAGGATTGCAATTTTTGTTGCGAATTCTTTGCTTTTTATTTTTATTATCGAGTTGGACAAAACGCACACTTTGTTTTGGCTATAACTTTCTAATGAAACCTTTTAATATATTCATTGCTTGAATTGACGAGACTTCGCAAATTTTGTTGACTTTAAAATATCATGCAACATATTCCCACCTAAAATTGACATCGACAAACCATCTTTTTTGTTCTAGCACGCTTACACCAAGTTTTGGTCCTTTTTAAGTTAAACATCATAATCCGTTAATATAAATGTTTTAGATTTTACCACTAATTCTCGCTAGATATTAACCTTTGGCTTTCGGTAGGACCCTTGACCATATAAAATGAACAAAAAATCAAAGTTGCAACTTTTCCATATTTTCCACTTACTTTGACGCTAATAAGTAAAGCTTAAATATTAGAGCCTTACTAATTGCATTACAATTTTTAACTTTCTTTTGAGTTTTGGGGTTTGAAATGGCGGATGAACTATTTTCACCGAAATGTCTTCTGTGTGTGCGACTTGAAGCATAAATGCATTAAGGGGTAGAAGAGTTTGTAAAAGCACTGGCCAACTAATATAAAGGTTAGAAACGTGTCACTAAACAAAAAAATTGCAACTTGGAAGTTGAAAGCAGTGCTAAATGTCTTTTCCATTCTGCTACGTATTTTCTACGAATTAATGTCCGTCTTCCACTGTCTAAATTCACATAGTCAATTCATTGGTTTTGTTGAGTATTCCTATTTGAAAACAATGTAAGTTTCATATTAGTCAGACACCCTTTTCTCTGCACCAGTAAACGGGCATGGATGAAAACTCCCGTAAGCTCTACTTATGTGAGGAAGAGAGCAAGGACCAGGGTCCAAAAGTCGATTCTGATGACCTTGAGGAGAGAATTGCCGCACGCCGACTGCGCATTGCAAACCGGTTGGCGTCAATGAAGTAAGCTATGAGCGTTTATGCAAAGCCAATCATTCGCCCTTTACTGCCCACAATTTGTCATTGCAGTTTACCGTAAGTGTCGTTCTTCTGATGCCGATACGTTAATATCGATTGAAGTCGTTTAGAGCTCTGGATCAATGGGCAAAATAGGATAAATCTACATAAATCAGTTTGTCCTACAGGTTGGTTGATCTTTGTGGAAAAGGCCACAGGGAATTATTGTAGTGAAATCCAATAAAATGTCTTTCATTTCCATATTGACGTACTGAATTAAGGCAATTGAGTCATTGGCGTGAAGGCTTGGTATCTCGTTGTGATTGGTGAAGAAACTGCAATATGTTTTAATGTGCCGCATAATCAAATTTCTCACAACTGCGCGGCCATTTTTGGAACCAAGTTAGTTGCAATGAATAGTCTAAAAGTTTTTTGTGTCGAATTTCATAAATTTTATTTGTGTGAATTGGGGCTTGGTTTTCAAGTCGAGAAATTTCTCTCAAAATAAAACACCAAACAACACCTCCGCATTACGAATTTCAATGTTTGGATCCAGGATTTTAATACCTTACAAATGTGATTTTCTTTAAAGAAAGGGAATAATTCCGTGTGAAAGGCAAGTTGGATTGGGCAAAATTTATTGGACCAATAGGAAACAGGCGGTTGAAACAGATCAGACACCTGGCACAGGTTCTGGTATGTGATTTTTCAGGTCAAGCTGTCGTTTCTCCTCTTTAGAGCAAGCGCCTCCGAGGAGGAGGAAGGGGCGCAGAAGAAGAAGACAGTCTCTGAAGAAGAAGAAGCTAAGGAAGCTGAAAGCAGGCTGGCGCCCATGCAAGTCGGTCTAAGCATGCAGAAGATAGTTAATCTCTGCCGAAACGGCAACGCGTTCATCACCAACATCAAGGTAGCCTGCGATGCGCGGGAGAATCTGCGGAGGATGGAGGAGGAGGAACTGGCGTTGGTGCGGAACCAGAAACTGGACGCCGAGAGACGGGCAGCTGAAAAGCTCTTCGAGGAGGTAGATGGTTGTTCTTCTGCTTGATTATCCGGAATCGGTTAGGCAGTATGTGGTTTCAAAGCATTTTCGATCATTAGCTTAATCTTTGGCCAAAGGATTGGGGCGAATTATGTAAATGCTAATTTTACCACTAATTGATTTGCTGAAAGCACCGCAGCCATCTGAGTGCGGCAGTAGGTGACCTTGATAATGAAAAAATGTAGCCAATAGGATCTTGGGTTATGGAAACGGCCCCAAAACATGGTGTGCATGGGACACTGGATATAACAAGTATGCTGCGTTTAAGTTGTGTATTCTGTCTGGGACTTTCACTGGCTTAGATGTGATTGGCTACATACTAGGTAAAACCGCAGCAAAAGCTGTCAGATATTGGCTGATAAATCGGCCGTTTATCTTTCAGATTGAGGAGAAATGGAAAGAAGTCGAAAGCACAACTCTTGCTCACGATTTACATGATGTAAGCGTCTTCTTTGACTTTACACAAGAAAATTTAGAAAGGCAATTCCCGGAACCCGTCATCCTTTTAGATACTGGAGGAGTTGAAAACTAATTGTGCTAAAATGATTGATGAAAAGAACAAGCTCATCTACGAAATACATCTGGTACGTTTAACCATTTCCTACCAATTTTTATCACTCATTCTAAAGTCAGAGAACTTTCTGAGCCATGTGCTGATTGACCAATCGGATGCTAGGTTTGCACTGATAGCCGTCTTCACTAAAACAGCACTAGCCTGGAATATCGTAGGTTGCTAAATTCTAATTCAATTGGCTAAAAATCATAAAGCAAACTTCCTCCATGTTAGGCATCGCCTGATTGCTTTTTCGATTAACTTAGTCTTATTTGGCGCCTAATTAGGTGCATTTTTTTACCTGCGTGTGTAGGAATTGAAGGCCAAGGACGACCATTTTGTGAAGGAGCTAAGGAAACGATCCGAAGACGTCGAAATTATGGTCGAACGAATGGAATCGCAAATGAAAACAATGCAACAGGCCTACAATTTTGAGTTAAAAGAAATCGAGGTATGACGCTTTACTCGTGGCTTCCTGCATCTAATCTGCCACAGATACATTCCTGTGCAAAAAATCCTGTAAATTAGATAAAAAATCTGTAGAAGTGAATGCAGTTTGTGAGCTTTCAGAAAACGTGTTACTGGATTGGTCAATTTGCTACGCCCAGTCGTTTTGAACCACCCGCCAGTGGTAGCAATCAACCAATGGCTAGTTTCCTCTGTCGGCGGATCCAAAATGGTGGCTCCTCGTCAATTTGTTACACCGCTTTGCAGAATCAAATGCAAATACTGTTTTTTTAAATATTAATAACTTAAATATGAATTGAACTCTCAGAAATATTCAGAATGTTACTTTCTCAAGACCGATTAGAATTTGAGCGGTTTTTGCATGCTTTAATGAGTCTGGCCCTAATTTTAAAATGTTGTATTTAAGGCCAATGTGCATACTCTGAACTAATTGATAGTATGAACGTATGGGACTCCTGTCATAAGCACTTTTACACAACACTATTGAATTCTGCAACCGGGATTGGCTAATTTAGAGGTCACAGAGCACTGCTATCCAATAACAGTCGTTTCCTTGGTACCTTGTAGAAAGCCTTCCTCCAGGATCGTGAGAACCTCCTGAATGAGCAAAACGCCGACTGGGAGGCCTTCATGGAGGAGCTGAAAAAGAAACAAGTCGACTACCTCGAGGAGAGAAAAAGTCGGATAATTGAACTGGAGGATTTGATAAAGAAGCTACGAACCAATCACACGGAGGAGTTTAATGCACTCAAACTTCGACTCATGACGGAGGTCCAGGTAAACGACTTAGTCACCCCTCGACCATCGTTTCATCTCGTTTCATTTTGTTTTTAAGTTGATTACTTCCTAATTGGTGATTATTTTGACCTCTTCATTATTCAAATGAATCCCAAGCGTGTTCTGTAAAGATATCGCATTACCACCTGGCTGAATTTTCGTTGTTTTAATGAATTCTTGTTCAAACTCTAAAACTTGTCTGAAGATTGAAAAAGATATCGATGTTTGCTACGTGAAACAGTTGAAACTCACACAAGACGGTAAAATAAATGCAACTATCTCAGAGGCAATACCTTGGCTTTGCAGATGGACATTCTAACTGACTCAGTACACCAGACTTGTGTGACCTTGAAACTGGCTAAATATCCAATGAGATAGCGCAAGTTCGAAGTGCGTAATTTGGAATGGTGTACATAGACAACTCAATTAATTAAAACGCACGGTATTGTGCAATAGTGAAATTTTTATATCAATTATAAGTTAGCTGCGAAATCGATCCTCTGCGAGACATAATGACACCTTGCTTTTGTTGGCACTTTCGAACCCATTAAAATCAATAATGGGAGTTGTCTTTTTTTAAGAATATGGAAACTGACCTGCAGAAAATGAAGGCGACCTATCAGCTTAACCTCGAAAAATTGGAGTACAATTTCCAGGTGCTTAAGCGCCGGGATGAGGAGAACACTCAGACGAGGTCACAGCAGAAACGCAGAATCACCCAACTCCAGGACCAGCTCAATCGTATTCGTGTTCGCGGCAGGAAGCAAGAAGAAACGCTTCGGTAAATTTACTGCTACTTGGCGATTTGAGTAATCTGTATTTGTAAATTAAAATCAGAACCCTGAATACTTTAAGCTCGTTAACTTGCTCCTTTCCATTCAGTCACGAAAACCAAATTCTGTCGGAAGATTATAAAAAGATGATGGAGGCGTTCAGAGAATTGCAGAAAAAATCAAAGTAAGTGTCCTTAAAATCAATTATCGTCGTCAAACTTTGTGTTTTGTATGAAAAAGGTGTTGTGCGTTTCGTTTAGGGTTCTGATTGAATCGGAAGAGCGCAATTTCCTCGAAATTTGGAACATGAACGAAGATGAGTTGCGATTGGACTCGCAGAAGTTGTTGGATGCTGACAGAATCATCACTGAGCAGCAGTTGGGCCTAACGTGGACTCCACCCGACGTGTAAGGAAATTTCGACTGGTATCTAGGTGGTTAGACGTATCTTAGGTACTCAAGTAACTGACTTTTCCCAAATCAATGTCGAGGTTTCGAAATTGGTACAAAATCAGTCACGCGCCAATGCGTACTCTCCTAATTTATCCCTGATAGGTCAAAGACAGAAAAGAGATCAAGAAGCTCCACCAACTATAGGGTTTTAATTTTTGCTGCACCGCGTTCTTGACCTTGATCGTGTCGGCTTCTTTTATTTAGCCACAAATTAACCCCACAAATGCACTCCACACCTGTAAACACTCAAGTCGGTCAGTATTCTGGTCCATTTACGACATAATTTTCATTAATACGAGTTTTAAAAATGCCAATACACAGAGCTCCATCTTTTAGGTTTTGTGTTGCTTGTTGGATGGCAATCACAGACCACTCCGCATTGCACTTAAGTTACTGCCGTGCATAAAAGCAATTGGTCGACCACTGAGTGACTTCAAGCCAATTGGCATGCGGTGATGGGCGAAGCGGCTAGGAAAAGTCGATAAAAAAAAATCGATATTGCACTGAGTCAACGCTTTACACACTGCAACCTGATGCAGCATTCTTTGCCTTCTGTTAAGATCCTTCATGAAAAACAGTGGACCGATCTCCCTTGCGGCCAAGCAGAAACGCGATAGTTCGCTGGCAGACAATTTGCTCAAGTCGACGACACAGATTGCGTGAGTCTAAGACCACATGATACCCCTGAAACTTCACTTTTTTGGCAAAAATTTAGTTAATTTAGGATGCTCTTGATTCAGCGCACTTGGAACATTGTAAATCGTCAAGAATATTAGCTATCGTATTATTGCGCTTTCGCTAGCGTCTTCTCAGGTCCATTGTAGGTAGCATAGTCCTCACGAGGCGTCTGATTAGTTAACCAATCACGTGATCGCATCGATGGTTACGTGTATTTACTCTTGAGTTGTAGCGACAACACCGGGGAGGGTAAGAAGTCGACGCCTAGATCTCTCAAAGAGGCCCCACCAGAAATAGTGAAACAGTTTCTAGACATGCTGGCCTTCGAACCGGTGAGTCTGAACGCCTTCAGTTGGTCTAGCCACCCTCCCCCCGTTTCACCTAACACACGGCACATCTTCACTGCAGGAATTTTTAATTGAAGAGAAGATGAAGCGGCTTCTACGCGGCATGCCGAGAGACAATCAGAAGCTCATCCGTCTCGATTCGGTGCTGAATGTGAGTGTTGAATTTCGCCTTTGCATTCACTGCAACTCCCACTGGTTCTGTGTCTTCGACACGAGCTTAACCTTTTACTTAATAGTCTTTCTCTCTAAGCCGGCTAATCAGTATTCCTATGTAGAAATTTGGGGCATCAAGTCAAAGCGCTCATGTCTCACTTCATTTAGAAAAGTAGATCTTTTGGAAGAGGATATAACAATGACAAAATACTGTGGTTCTAAGCTGTGGTAGATCGACTTGAATCTGCTCAGGGCTGAGGCAAGTAGACCAAGTGATCGATGGAAAGGTGGTGCATTTTCAAGGATTATGGACCTGCGTCTGTAGAGCTGATGATCGCAAATCCCCACCTGATTCTAGTGCATCGGTCCTCTTTCATAAGATTCAGGAAATTATGAACAAACTATTGTGGATTTAAACAAAGAACCAAAGTGTCATGTCAACTCATCAGAGTTGGGTACAAATTTGCTATCCTGTAAAGACCCATTTCAACCAACAATTTTCTGAAATTTGTTTAAATTTATGTGTAAACACGGCGCACTCTGTTTCTTGAAGGTCCTTGGTGTCTATAACGAGGAGCTTTTGGATAAACTGTTCACGTACTTCATTCTACCGAGTGATGCAGGTGGGAAGATGAGAGGCGCCTCGCCGTCCGCGGAACCCTACCTCGGTAAGTACAACCCCTCCTTTCCTGCGCACCTACTCCGCGTCTTCCAACAACTTATTCCAGCGTCTGAAGGCGTTTGCACTCAATGTCATGTGTGTTGTGCCAGATAGCGGACAGGCAACTGACAATTCCACTGCCACAGCCACCGAGACGACGAATGTCAGAGAGGGGGCTACATCAGGGGCAATCCGGCTTATCGATCCGGTGGACGTAGCAGAAGCCATGCATCGATTTGCCGTTGAAAACTGCTTTGATCCGACAGTACTGGAAATCACCTCAGATGGAGCAAAGCGCAAGTCAAAAAAGGAGGCTACGACAACCGGTGCGGCGTCTGCGAAAAGCAAAGAGCAGAGAGTTTCGGTTAGGCAACAAGGTTTGCTTGACGAGGAAATGGACAGGAAACATTGGCAGAAATATGTGTACGTTCATTAACTTTTCGGACTTTCCATAATTAATTAAAATAAGTTGCAAACAACGGACTAGAAATGGACTCTGTTTAAACCATTTCACATGCAGTATCGGGACAAAGAGTGTTTAACTATCATCAAACTCTGATTTCCGTGACCAGTAGTGTGATTCGATGAAACTCCTTATTCTGATAAATCAAAACGGGGTCGCCCTTGGTGGTGTATTCTGATTGGTCACCACCGCTCTATCTTCCCCATTATCAGTGACGTATTGGTGCCAGAAGACAAGAAATTGATGTGGGTTGGACTGACCAAGGCGCTTCAGCGTTACCTCCGATTACTACGTAGACGCTCGGAGTTGATCGATGGAAATGAAAATCTTCGCAACCAGAACGCTGAACTGAAGCGCCTCCTAAAACTTTGTATTGAATCTGAGGTATGCTTTGTTTTAATTTAAGGACTTTGTCGGTTCTACGACCTTGTGAATGCGCGCTACCTGGTTCGCACACCAGTTGATCCATTTCACGATTTCTTTAAATCGATTTCATGACATGAACTATAATTTTTCTCACAGTCACAGGGGTTTGAACCTGCTAAAATGATCTTAGGTGGGTAACAGGACGGAGTTATTCACATTTTAGAAAATAGTGTGTCTTATTTATAAAAGTAACCACACATGAGAAATCGCGTTAACCTTCATATCCTAATTCTTCCCATCATTAATCAATTTGTACTGATAATTTTTAATACCTTCAAAGGGCAGCCAAAGTCTCGAAATCCAGCCTTCGTCTTCGCTGAAGCTCTGAATCATCGCATCCAGGTGGAATCAATCTTTGGACTTCAAAACACACCATCAAGCACTCGCACAACACACCATCAAGCACTCGCGCAACACACCTCAATTTATGTGTGCTTTTGTGTGAAAATGAACATAAAGTTGACAATTTTGATGGATTAATATTAATTTCGAGGCTGCAAAGGTGGAGAATTAAACAAATTTTAACATGAATTAATAGTAACCACTACAAACAATTACAATCTTTTTTCAGGCAGAAAGCTAGAACTTCCAGTAATTGCATGATTTTATTCAATATTTGCACCGAAGTTTAAAAATATTCTTTTTGACTTGTGTTGGAAATGATTTGAGGAATGAACAACTTGTTATCCGGTGAAAATAAGTTTTCTATCACCAGATTTTGAAATGTATATCTGGGTTATGTACAGGTCATTTTACGGCTTATAGCTATTAAAAAAGATTTTAAGGATTACTAAATACTAAGGAAATAAATAATTATGAGTTTTACAGTTTCGGATATTGAGCTCAGAACGTTATATATACACGTGGTGATTCACGACTTTATATAACTCTTTATCTGATCCTGTGGCATATTTGTAGTCTTTTAAACTGTGTTTAGGACAAATAAGTCGTTGTATTTATTTATGGTAAGTTTACAGTCTTAGAAAAAAATAAAAAAACCCGTGGTAATAACAAATGCTGCTCATTGATTCTACCAATAAGCAAAAACTGCTACTTTGGAATGATTAACTTCAGAGTAGCAAATTTTATAGGATTAATTTACTAAACTATAAGTAAATGTAAACCTTAAATCATTACAACTCTACGATTCTAAGCAACGTTCACAACCACTACGCAAAATTCAAAATACCGAATAAAGCGTCCTCCTTAATCTAAATTAATAAATCAAAATCTAGAATAACCTGAATGTTCTTAGCCTCGTTCCTTCAGCATATTTTACTTAATGTTTCAATGATGACAAATGTTTGACTACACTTCTCGTCCCTCTCTAGTGACCATGTAAGTTAATTATAGCATCTAAAAGTATGATCCCATTAATTGGGCGAATCAATTAAACTGCTTTTTTTAAAAACGAGTTCAGGTCTGTTGAGTATTATAATTAGACAGTTTTAAATAATTGTACATTTTTGCGCCTTGAATATTCAAGATTTTGTAATATAATTATTAGACCTAACAAAATCACACTCTCGTTTTTAATTTCCTATTGGTTGGGCTTATTCTGCTTAGTGGTCACTTAGCCCAACGAAGTCGTTGCAGGATGACGGACGCTGGGTTCTTCAAAGTATGATGTTCGTTTCTTATTAACTAAATTCTTAGGGCACAAGCACGGACCAAGATTCCAGATTTGCGGACAAAAAGAAGAAGCTGATGAAGAGCATGAAGTTTGGTGATAATCTAAACCAGAAAGTATGCTCATTCTTTCTCTTGTTACTTTATCGTAAAGGTTGATACTCAAAGGGTTAATGTCGAATGTATCAAACCGTGGATCGTTAAGCGTATTACCGAACTGCTCTCCTATGATGATGACATCGTCTGCGATTTCGTAGTGAATTTGCTATCGGAACAGGTATATTTTTCAGCGTAATTTGCCTTAGCTTTTGTTATATGCTGTGACCTTAGTTGCTTATATCATTTTTTTCAATTTCTTGCTTCTGTGTGCATGTATTTGTCTACATTATTTTGTTTTGTAGTTTTGTCACGGTCTTGGTTATTTTGATCCGAGCCATTCAGTTTCGGAGTGTCTTGCGTCTTCTCTTAATATATGCCAGGAACGCAAAATAATTTTCTTGCGTAACTAAATTAAATTTACGCGATGTTTGCGTTATTGTTAGGTAGGCAGCACTTATTTCAACGATACCTAAATAAGGTTTTTTATTGCAATCCTTCTTTTTAATAATCGGAAACTCGGGATTCCACCCAGCCTATTTTTACAATGCAGGATAGGTGACTCATGCTGATCTGCCTCCCAATTTTTTTTCAGTGTATGGCCCTCGAGAATCACTTTGTTGTGCCGCGTTGCAGCCCTGACGTACAGGGGATTGATAGGGCACTATGCCGAGAACTGTTTTAATTTTGTTGACTTGTCCATAAAAAAAGCATTCTTACAGGTTTTGATTGGCTTTTAGGTTTTCCAAAGGAGATACTATCAACTTAAGTGTGTTGGAGCAATGGCTCGCTGTTTGACCGCTACTACTTCTACTTCTGTAACCGGTACCTTTTGACCGTGGTCTCCTAATAGCCCTGTTTTAATTGCTAGGAACTATAATTTTTGCCCCAGCCGTCATGCTACCCTCATCTCGGTTTTTCCCAATTTCATTCCCTAGTTCCCTGACCCTAAGGATATCCAAATCAACTTAACTGCCTTTCTTGGGAGCAAGAGTGCCCGAATCTTCGTGACAGAGCTTTGGGATCTCCTGCTCTCCGCTATGAATACTCCGGGTGGCGTTCCTGCTATCTTCCTCGAAGCTAAGAAGGCGGAACTTCTAAGCAGCAGGGTACTGTCTTGTGATTGGTCGATAATTGGCCATTTTTAAATTGACTTCTACTCCTCTCCCCCTCCCATTCTCTAGTTCCACTCAGATTGTGCTACACTGGGTTAAGGTCCTGCATGATTTTCCTCAGTCATTCCAATATTTTCGTGAAATGATACTTTGTCCATATTGGATGTTATTATTTGGTCTGGTACCTGATTTTTTCTGCAAGTTATTTTTATGATGGTTGTGAACATTGCTTAGTTTCGCTCGCTGGGTCATTAAATAATCCTCCAATTTCATTAAATTTTCTTATTCTAGACGGACGAGGAGAAGTTCCGGAATGAGATCTCGCGTTCCAGTGGTGGCGCACCCACCTCTACGGGATCTCGACCAGCCATCGAAGTAAAGAAAGAGGGCGATGGATCCGCCACCAAGCATCGGTCGCCTCTCAGGTTGGAGGAAGAGGGTCGGCGATCGGGTCGTAGGGAACGACGGCGTTATAGTATGTCAGACTACCATGCATCCTCGTTACTATTGCCGTCTGCTAACACACTTGCTCTTGCTCCTCCTGTTAGCCTCATCTCCAGACAACGAACGGTCAGATCGAGAGCGTAGCCCATCCCCTGGAGCTCGTCGACGCAGACGACGGAGAGACAGACGGGATGACGACGGGTCCAGGGTGAGTTGTTCTAGTTCCTTCTTACTCACTCTTACTGTCTTTGGTTTTTGTCCAAAACATCCGTCACTGATTGGTTTTGAATTATTCCCCGTTTTGGCGCCTTAGTTACCGAGTCAAGAGCTTGTTAAGTGCTTATTTGGAACCTGAGTACTGCGTTTGATGCCTTGGTATTCTTTCATCTCTACAGAGAAGGCGACATTACCGGAGCCACTCGCGATCGTCGTCAGCGCGCCGCGACTACCACCGTCGTCACCACAGTCCACGCGGTCGTCGTTACGACGAGGATGGTGCTGATGGCTTCCGGGAGCGTTCGCATGACGAGCACGATCGCCGGCGTCGCGAGAGGCACAGCGGTGATGTCGGTCGGCAGTCGGATGAAGGGTTTGTTTGCAGTCCTTTTCCCACCAGACGACTTCTAGTATGCCTCAGGGCTGTGTGCCTGCAGCACAAAGTTGGTGGCGTTTGACTTGCCAGTTTGAATGCTTACGCTTGTGCCACGAAATCATTTGGGGATGTTAGGCGTGACACGTCACCGTCTGTTCCTTTGCCCCTAATTTTTTGGGCTTTTTTGGATTATCTAAATGCACAAGTTCAGACAAGACCATGTTTACTCGTAGATGGCTTGTTGCATTTAAAGCTGGCTTTAAATAATGCATTTCGTGTCCTATATTGAATACAGCTAGCAGAAATATATCGAAAGCGATCAACAAAATGTTACTTTTTCAGCAAAATATGAAAAAGTCAAAGTGGAACCACTCTGTGTGACCGAAATTGTAGTTAAAATTCGTTGTTGCTCCTAATCTGGTGCTGTTCAACTTGTGGTCGCAAATCCCCAAATACCAGTAAAGGCGTTGACCAACGCTTTGCGAAAAAAAGATCCCAAATCCAGAGCACAATGCCGATAAGCGTGTTTCTCGTTGCGGTGGTGTCACCACACCTGGTAATTGTTGTTTTTTTTTCGATTAGTGCAGTTTGGGCTGGGCTTAATCACGCGGAGTTGTCAAAAGGCTGTTCGTTTGATCTTCACGAACAGGCTGGTGGATTTTCAAGGGTGATTTTTAATGTTTTTGTTCTGCAATAGTGAAAATCGCCGAAGAAGGGATGACGACCGATCTCACGAACGCGGACGCAACGCCGACGGGCCGATCTGTGTTCCTCGCGAGGTCTCCGGCTCCCCGGTGCCACCGCACAAGTCCACCGCCACCGCCGCAAAAACCAACGGCGATGCCAACACCTCAGACCCCAAAAGTCCCGAAATCCGGAATTCCGATGGTTGTGGTGATGGTGATGATGATGGCGGCGACACTAGAAATGTCGACAGGTAAGTAGGGGCAATTTTAGCATGAGCTGTATGGCAATCAGTCCCTAAGTTGTTTCTGTTTGTTCGGTTTTTGAGATTTCGCTTAAGCAGTTAATGGTTGCATTGTGAACTTCCTGTCATCCTCTCACCCTCTCTCTCTCTTCTGTGAAAGGCGACAACGAGACAAGCAGAGCCCCCTACGTGAGGAGAAAGCTCGCTGCGTTGATGAAGTGTATGAAGAAGAAAGGTACGTGGTAGTGTAGGTTCTCCTTGGATTCTCACTTGATCCCTAAACCAGCTAACCACCATAATCAGCAGCTCTCCCATGGTATGGTGTATTGTTTTATTGTAGACGCATTCGCCGTAGAAGTCCATCTGATGGTAATCGGCGTGATGTGGACGCTGAGAGGTAAATAGCCATGAAGGCGCAATATAACAGCATTAGCAGGCATCACGTGTTCCCCAAAATCTGCCTCTGTTTACATCGATTTTCATCTGTTTAGGCGTTCAATGCGTGTCAGAAGCCCTCGTGAATATGTCGAGGAACGCAGTCGTCGACACGAGCAATCGGACGATAGGTATGTGTGTGTGTGTTGTTTGTCATTGTCTTTCGTCTCTTAGAATCGTGGAATTATTACGTCAAGCAGTAATTGCCACTTAGGTTCAAACTGCGGCCCCAAATCGATTAATTTCGGGGTAGCAGTGATTGCCGATGTTAGTGTACTGCTCGCAACTGTGAGTGAGGCGATATCCGTAATGAGTACCATTGGTAGGAACGTTTATCCTGCTCAACGCACTTTCTCTTCCCGGAACTCCAAAGCCACGAATCTTCTATAGGCTCCCGTTGCATGAAAGTCTGTTGGAACGGTTTGCTCTTAACTTTGCTCGTGTCTTTCTGTCTCAGGCGTAGGCGAAGTCGACCTCTGGCGGAAGACGAGACCTACGTCGAGGAGCGACGTCGTGCGCGCCATCGGAGTCCATCAGAAAAGGCCCATTCACATTCTCGTCGCCAATGCGACCCTGCTGTCGATGACAACGACGAGGATAGACAAAGGCGGCAAAAGCGTGCGCGAAGGGAGAATGAGGAGGTGGTGGTGGATGAGGTTGAAGAGCGCAGACGCAGAAGTCGACGACAGGTTGAGAAGGAGGCCGTCTGGGAGGAGGAGAACTCGAGGCGAAGGCATCGTAGAGAAAGAGACGACGAGGTGTCATCAAGGCGACGACAACAGCGCAGTCCAGAGGGCCCCACTCTTCCTCCAGTAAGGCGAGAAGAACGAGGTCAGTTGTTGTTTTGTGGGCTAAAACGCAAAATTTTTTAAGCGAATTTTTCAAAACCACTGCCTTGACGTTTTGTTCATTCTCTTCCACAGAGGAGGCTCCATCGCCGGAGGGTCCAGAGCTTCCGCGAACAGTTCAGTCTGTTGTGGTTCGTCCCTCGCATTCAGCAACGAAGACTAAAAAGCCGCATCGCGACCGACCCTCGCAGTCTTCATCTACGAGCTCAAATTCCAGCTCCTCTAGCGACTCGGATTCCAGCTCTGACGACTCCTCGTCCAGTGAAGACTCTTCTGACAGCGATTCGAGCAGTAGCAGCAGTAGCACCAGCAGCGAGTCTAGCTCCTCATCCACCAGCGATGACAAGGCCGTCCGCGCTGCATTAGCGAAGAAGAAAAAGCCTCAGAAACGGAAAGACGAAGCTCCCCGCAAACCCCCAGCGGTAAGTTCAAGTGTATTAACCGTGCAATGTCTTCGTCTATGCCCTTTGATTGCTGCTATTTTCTGCAAATTCCTGTTAGATAATTTGTCGCGAAAGTGTTTCCCATCCAACTTTCTTTTTGTTCCAGACTAAAGCCAGACAAAAAGGCGCTGTTGAGGCGCCACCTCCACCGCTGTCACCCGAGGGTCCAGAACCGCCCAAATCGGAGGAACGTCCACCGCTGGAGTGGAAGGAGCGCAATCACGTCGGTGCGGGTGACGAAGCCTCCGAATCGGAGTCCTCAGACTCGTCCACTGACGACTCGTCCGCCTCTAGCTCCTCATCCTCTGATGATGGTGATTCGTCTAGCTCGTCCGCAACCGCGTCGGAGGATGAGAAGAAGGCAAAGGAGGGCAAGAAAAAGGCCACCAAACACCGCACTCGCTCTGTGTCGCCTCCAGCAAGCAAACGGTCGCGTTACGAGGAGGAGGAGGAAGAGGAGTTGGCGGAGCGGAAGAAGGCGCGTGATCGCAGTGGACGAAGTCCGGTTAGTTCCGATTTCCCCTAGGGGCTTTAACCCCCTTTGTTGGCAGCGGTGAATACGATTGGCATTTGTGTTTTCCCTTGAGTTAGAATGCGAGTGGTCGACATCATAGACGAAGCGGCAAACGGCAAAATGACGAACACACCGGCGACGCTGATCGGAAAGGCCACAAAAGCAACAGCACCGAGGAGGACCGTCTGCGTCGTCGGGCCTTGGAGTCGTTGAAGCGCAAGTCCTCAGCTGGGCTCTCCTAGGTGCGCACGCGATCCTCGCTGACCTCCGCCTCCCCCCTTTTTTTATATAAACATGTGCGTGCGTGTGTGTGTGCGTATACATCGTGACACTATTTACTTGTGTTAATGGAATGTAATCCCATTGCCATTTGCAATTGAGTCAAAGGCTCCCCGTTGGCCCATCTGAGATTGCATTTTGGGTTGCAGCACCCTGATTCACCGACTCGGCCGGCTGCCACCTTTTGCTCAGCGGAGCCGCCATTTTGCGTGTTAGCGCGGTTGCATGGAGGTTTCGATGCCTCTGCACGAGGCCACGACGTGGCGGTGGTCAGGTGTTTCGGATATGAAACAAGGGGGGTGTTAAAAGTACAGGTGATAAGTTCAAGGTCCGTCCACGATGCGTCGACAGCGGTGACAATCACAACCAACAACAACCCTCTCATCAGCGGCTAGGGCAGTCGACAAACGTTTTCCACGATCAAAATAACGGGAATTTCCACCGACGTATATTCCGGAATGAAGGGAAGAAAATTCGGCACACATCTAGCGTCGGTGAAAATTGAGTTACTCCTGGCTTTACTCTGCATGTTTGATTCGAATAGGATGTTGTGGTATGCCCCCCCCCTCCTAAATCGAGCTTCTTCAATCAGTAGGGATCACGTAGCCTTTTAACCTGCTTGGGTTGGTTCGTGACGTTCTGGTAATCTCTCGCCTTAGAATCAAAACACCAAGCCGTGTGTTGCAAGGCTCCCGTTAACTTCGTCTGTCAGAAGCAACCAGCGGTTTGTGGACGGTGTAGTTCGCAAACTGCTGACATTCGAGGTGTCACCTGAAGTGTCCGATTGCAGCCGAAGGTGCCTTGTTGATAGTGTTCAGCTTCTTAGATCGCCTTGTGTCAAGATTATTCGGAGTTGTGAGTACCGCAGTTCTCAACTATGCACAAAATTCTTTTGCCCTTGTGCTTACAGGCCTTAAACCGAAAGCTGAAGCTATGTTAATTAGTGCCGATATATTACTGAAAACTCACAAACGCATCACAACGGGTTGATAGGTGATCCGTACTAGTTTAGCCTTTGAAACGCGAATTTCTAAAGCAACCGAAGTCTGATAGGCAGAGCGTACTGAGTAGGTTGGAGGAGAACTGCTGCAGATTTGGAGTGAAGCAGGGATCAGGCGTTATTCACAAATGGCTTTAGGAACCGTATGGAAAGCCGATTATCAATAGCTGGTTGTTCGACGAACTATTCTGAGCTGCAAAATGTGTAGGCATTCGCATTTGCATCCAATGGGTCTTACTTGGCAGGCAGTGTGTTCAGGCCTTGGCATGGACGGTCAGTAGTCAAGAATTTGTGCGTTGCTCTTTGCCGAACCTCGGTCTGCTCAAAGGATGGCCATCTGGTTATCTCCATCGGTGTGATTTATTCGTCGTGGAAGTATACTGCTGCATTTGTAAAGGTCAGTTAATACTCACGTAGGTGGGCCGGTACGGGGGGTGTATATCATTGCTTTTAAGCAGGAAACTGGACAACAGTATACAACGCAATGAACTACTCGAAATACCATATTATTAGTGCAACTGAATGCCACTGGAAGTTGCGTCAAAACTTGCTTCTGGGCCCCAGGTTAATCGATTCAGTTAACTGTAGCCGGGGAGTCTGCTACGCGGTGGTATCAACGCCGCTAGAAGAGAAAGACTGAATGGTACACCACTAAACCCAACCTAAATCAACGGCTTCGTATTTACAACAACGGCACACGGATTCATGTCGCATAGAACTTCGGATGTTGATTATTTGTGCACAAATAACCGAGATGAAGCGATGTTATTCCCTGTCATTGTACGTGATGCAGGCGCAGCTTAGGCAGTACAGTGTGTCGGCAGCGTTGTCTGACAAGTTACGATCACTAAATCGTCACCAATCACCATGATAAAGATACGCGAACACGCAGCCAATCTAGAGAACTTGGTTGGACAGCAGGAATGCGATTTTGAAGTCGAATCCTCAGCACTAACTCAAGGAGACACTTCAAGGATGAACTCTAGTAGGTTTTAGTGCAATTTGTTGAAAACCACTTAGTGGCAAAAACGTTTACGACGACGCATTAAAGATTCTGCTAAATAGGAGGCGTTCATGGGGGAATGCGCACACCCGAGTGGGTGCTCCGATTCTTCGAACCCAGTCTGGACACGCGTCAACTCAGATTATGGACTTGGTTTGTCACAGTTAACTGCAACGTCAAAACCAGCGTGTTTGGGTTAAATTCGACTCGCTAATACCCACACCTGCTTTGTTAATACCACGATGTGCCTGCTACGCACCACTTTGACGCCGAAATCTCATTTGATACTGAATATCTCTTGTTCGTGAATTTGTGCGCATGGTTAGTGTGGATTACAGGTAAATGAACACGCGTGATAATCCCTAATCCGTGGTTGGGCTCCAGTTACCTTGTAGATTTGATAATTTCGCGTAAATTTACGCCGGTGTGTGTGTCTCTGGGGTTGTTTTAAGCTAAAAAATCGTCAAGCGCGATCCACGGATGATCTCAACCGCCCTTCGTGATCTGCCATCAGTTTGGCCCACGTTTTTTTGCGAAAATGAACTTGGATCCCCTCGCAAGTGTCGCAATTTTGAGCAAATTTTGTCTGTGCCGTGATAGCATAACCACAAGGGCCACGTGTGCAAGGTGCAGCGACCTTAAATTTGCGAGCCCATCTTAAGGCGACTCACTGCCGCGCTCAGCATGACCTCACACAAACAGGAAAGCCACGTGACCCCTGTTCAAGGCTTGTGGAGTTACCATAGGCATTCAGACTTGACTCGTTGCGACCCTAATACTCAAAGAAGAAATGGGACGATCGACAGAGCGAGTCCACCGCAGTGTATGACTCACGTGCTTTGCTGGTTGTACAGTCTGAGTGAACTGCTAAAAGTGCAAACGTCTGAATGGCCAGCGTGCACGTCCAATAACCCGGTCGTCGCAGCCCCCCCCCCCACACACACGCCCCTCTTTTCACGGCGTGAACGTCAGTCACTGAGACAGCCTGCACATTCACCCCTCGGTATGAACCACCACCACCACCACCCGCTCTGTTCATGTGACATTCAGAATTCTGCATTTTTACTAGTCCACTCAACTGTATCAGTCACACGACACAACTTCGTTGAGGTGTCTAGTAAACGGTTGCGCCTCGTCCTCTTCGATTTTTATGTTAGCGGGTACTCAGGGCAGGGTAATCCGGTTAGATTTGAGCAGTGGCCCCGGCGTGGTTCGAGACAACATGCCGGGGCCCTCAACAAAACCAATCCAAGGTGTTTGGAAGTGACGACAAGAACTTCCAAATCACTTTTAACTGTTCTGTGTGGAACGATTAGCAGCGAGGTGATCATGACGACGTCGAAAACACATTTAACTACGGACTGTCAGTCAACAACGCAAATTTCACTATATCGGACATGTTCGTTTTGCACTCTGTGTTGAAATTAATCTTAAAACAAGGCCAACAACATGCTCTAAGTGAAACAGAAATGCCTATTTATAAAAAGTGGAAGTAGCATACTGCTATTCCATGCAAATAAGCGTGCTGTGTTGAATCTAGCGTTTGGTGAGCAGCATGTTTGGTGACGCGTTTCCGCTGAAACTAAGCGTTATGCTTCCTTGTAAACAAACGAACGGCAAATCATCCTTTTTTAAAGAGAGCCACCCCTCTGCACGAACCACCACCACCGGCTCTGTTCATGTGGCCATTCCAACGTCTGTATCTTCACTAGTCCACCCAACTGTACCAGTCAACACGGCGCAACTACGTTGAGGTGTCTAGTAGAGGGTTGTGCCTCGTCCTCTCTGGTCTTCTTCATCTTAGCGGGTACTCAGGGGAGGGTAATCTGCCTAGATTGACGCAGTGGACCCGGCGTGGTACAAGATAGTATGCCCGAGTCCTCAACAGTCCTTTATAAGCCCTAAATTAACCACAAAGTAAATCGCGTCTCTTGGGATTTCTTGCTAATGTAGACTACGAAATGCTGCCGAGTTGTGAGCAAGTCAATCTCCGACCACTGAAATACGATGCAACATCCCCACTGGTTGCATCTCGGACGATCACACGGAGATATTCTTGAGCATGCATCCATTGTTCGGTTCCCACAGTTAGGAGAAAAAACGACTAATCACTACGAAGAGTTTGTAGGATTATAAAAGACTGCGAGTTTCCTAATCAGCTTACATCATTTTTGCAAATGGAATGATGAAACCATTCATTCACATAACGGAGTGGTAGTTACCACGCAGACGGGGGTCACTACCGAGTACCGCAATGGGTGAGTTACGTGAATTGGACGGCCAATGAGTGAAGTGAACCGGTTATCGATTTTTGATAGCCGGCCTTGCCGATATCCTCAAAGTTGTCTTGCATGAGTTAACTCACTGTGTGCGTCGATGCTTCAGGAAAATGATCCTTACCACAAGTCCCAATGTGTACAAAGCGAACCGCTCTCCAATGCATTCAAACTGCGGATACACCTCGCACATTCGCAATCAAGTTTGCACGTGTTCAAAGCCAACCCTCTCGGTTTCTTTTTCATGGAAAACTACAATACTTTAATTACACCTACACCTTTCACAACTCTTCAGGTTATACAGAACGTAGCTATTACGCTTGCCCGTAACAAAGAGAAAACCACTCAGATAACGGCACTAGATCCCCTGTTGATGCTACCACCGACCTTCCCACGCTAAGAACAAATCAGAGCTCGTGTAGAAAGCTTTAATCACGCCAGCCACGTACGGAGTCAGTTGTCAAAAGTGAAACCAATCCAAGTCAAGGTTGACCTTGACGTGATAATAAGCATAATAAAACACTTGTTAATTAATTAGTGTAAATTGTGCCAGAAACCAACGACAAGCAATCTTGGGGAATCCTGGATCCCCAACAATAACTTCCCCTATCCCTAAGAGGCTGCGGCAGATTATGAGTGGTTGGTATTTTCTTTGAGTGAATCAATTCTACTCGGAAAAGAACCATCAAGCGTGACGCCATGAATGCACAAACACTGGAATTTCAACCTAATTTCCCCTTGCCAAAACAACCACATACAATCTTTACACTTTAATACAAAGCCACCAGTTAAAATCAGGCCAGCGAAAAATCACAGTCATTTGGCAGTCAAGCAGTCAGTTGCGGAGAAGGAGCACAATTTCTTGCCCAGCACCATGTTGTCCAGATGCCTCTCCTTCTTACTCCGCTGCCTCCAATCAGAAATAAGCTGAAAAGTGAAATATCATTGGTGAATAAAACTGAAAGAAAAGAAAACCAATCAGGACTAAGAACATTATAGCAACCAACCGAATTTAGAGAACGTCGAAGACCTTCGACGGACTTGTTCTTGCGCTTCTTGCCTTTGGAGGCTCTTGGAGTTTCATCGTCGCTACAGAAGATGTAGAAGTGATTAAGAGGGCAAATAAGATGTGATCTCGTCAGCATAATGAGGCGGAGAGAATTGCCCGGATGTGGGCATTGTAAACTTCGAAATATCTAGATTCCAAACGAGCTCAATTCATATGACCACGATGAAACACAACTGCGGCCTTGACTTGGACATAATCGACTTCAACTAAACTAGCTTCGTAGTTCGCCTTACAACCATCAGTGTCTACCTATGTTTTACAGATTCGGTTTTTCTTCAACTCATTAAGTGACAAGGGCAACCTTAGATACTGTTACGAAATTTGTTAGATTAATATAGCAAGATATAGAGGAAATAGGCAATGGAATAAGACAGAAGAGGACAGCGCGGAGGTACCTTGAGATGTCGACGTCCGAGTCCAGGATAATGTCGGCTTCACGAGCTGTTCGCCGGAACCATTCACGATTGGCGGCCTTTTTGGAGGCATTGTGCTCCACCACGTCGATCTGACGCATCAGCTGGACAATCGACCCGAACACCGCCATCTCCTCGGTGCTCGGACCGGGGCTCAGCTCGGGCAAATCGGGAACCCCATCGTCTGCGAAAAAAAGGCAACAAAGAAGGCGTCAGCGTTGCCCGAAGCGCGCATGCTTACAATGCGCAAGTGGTAGGCGCACCTGCCGGCAGATGGCTCAGATTGCGCGCGAGTTTCCGCCAGCGCACAATATCACCGGGTTCAAGGAGGATAACGCTGGTCCCGGAACGGTTGGCACGCGCCGTTCGTCCGCATCGGTGAATGTAGACCTCGGTGGTGTGGGGAACATCGAAGTGCACCACCCACGTGACTGGACACGACGCGAAGTCAAGCCCGCGAGCGGCCACATCCGTAGCGAGAACCACGCTCGACTCGCTTCCTGAGTTTGAAGAAAATAAGCAGCGTAAATAACTAACTCCATTGAGGTTCAACGGTTTCAGGCAGCACGGCGTGAGACGTTACCTTGGAAACGCTCTAGTGAGCGTAAACGTTGTTTCTGGACCATGTCTGCGTGAATAATGGAGAGGTGCGACGAGATGTCCGGACACTGTCGAAGCACGCCGGAGAGTCGTCGAGCACCAGACTTGCTGTTTACGAAGATCAGACTGCGTCCATGTTTTGCAACCCGACTCATCAGCAACCAGACCAGGAGGGTGTCCTTGTCGGGTTGGCTGGCGCACGTCAGTCGGTACTCCAAGAGACCCTCGGGCATGCGGATTCCAGTCGCTCCAGCTGGCGTCGCGGCGGAAGGCTGCGACTGTTGGTTCTTCGCCGGCTTCTCGGCCGTGGTGACGCCGTTGTCGACTGCTGTGGGCAGGGGGGCAGACGACGAGAGGTCGACAACCTTGACGCTCGGAGACAGGCCCAGGATGTTGCGAAGGAAGCCTGAAACACGATACCATGAGCCACTACTGGTTGACACCCAGACACACTTTTGAACAAAAACAAAACGGGAAGACACGAAACGGAATGACAATAACAAGCAGAAAGGCAACATCGACTCGCAAATCGAATTGAGCAAAACTCATGGTATCAAGTGCAAGAACACTTCAAAAGGGACCTTTCTTTTGGGACCAATTTGACAAATGACCAGGTGGATAAATTTCCACAGATTAAAACGCAAAGTCAGCTCTAGGCAGACGTGCGATGCATCATCCACAAGATGGGCCCAAGCAGTCACACTCCACTGATCAACTCAAGGTCAGAGTAATAAAAGAAGGAAATCGATGGTTAGTGTTCCCTTGTAGTTGAATGTCATTACTGAGCAGTTGGCGATTCCTAAGCGCTGTATTAAAGGAGGATGCACTATAGAGAATAAATATTGATGGAATAGAGCAAAACCATTTCACGCGACTCAGGTAAACGATACAACTACCGGGTGGCTGCATTCCACTTTCTCTGAAACGGTTAAAATCGCATGCACTAGTTGCACCAACATCATCATCATCATTTCGCGAGAACTTACTCAGTTTGCTGGTGGTGTCCATTTTCTTGCCATGCGCCAACTTCCTTGCGGCTTTGTTGAAACGCGCGCCCGGCATCAGGGCATGCGAGTGGACAAAAGTGAGAGTGGCCGAAAACACGAGGGTCTGACGTCGTGCGCCTTGGTCGGGCTTCTTGATGAACTGCAGAATGGAGCCCAATTCGGCGAAGTGCTGCGACTCCACCAGGCGATCGGCCTCATCAAACACCACCACGGATAGGGTGCGAGGCATTGAGGCGAGTTGTGGGTGCTCCTGAAGAAAAGGCCACGACGTTGAAGAGGGCGACACCAACGAAAAGGAGACGCAGCAACACCAAGGACTCACCTGTTGAATAAACTCCCAGAGGCGACCGGGTGTAGCGACGATGACATCGGGACGGCGCTGGCGCAGAAGGCGTTCCTGCTTTTGTATGGATATCCCACCAACAAGTGGCTCAATTGACACACCGGGCGACGCCATGTACTTGGCTAGAGCGCGAATATGTGAAGTTACCTGAAATGATAGAGGCTCATATCTACTTGCCAGCTACGTCAGAGATAACTGCGTTAAGAAACGACGTTTATTGGACACCGCTTATTCCATGAGTCTCTGAAACCTAATTAAGTCAATCTTCAGGTGATAAACTTCAGTAAACGGCGGAAGCCTTGAAAGGGGGATTGGAAATCTACCTGGAGAGCGAGCTCACGGGTGGGTAGGATGACTAGACCGCGAACACAAGCGGCGACATCACCGGACACATGTGTCCCAGTGACGTCTGGACCCTCCACGAGATCCACCGCCTGCCTGGAGATGTCGTGGGCCCGAACCACTTGCATGGTATCCGGATCGAGCTCCTCAATGACGGAGAGTTGGTCAAACTGTTTTCGACGTTTTCGATCTAGACGATCCGACTCGGCTTCCAATTCGGTCAGCCCTTGGTTCTTCTCACGTCGACGCTCTAAGGAGGTGAAGATGCACACAGAGTATCAGGCCTGCATTTGGCTTTGAGTTTAATTTAGAATCAAACACAAATGAGTAAGCAAAAACTAACTTACTTTTGGCCTTTTTCGAAGGCTGAAGCTGTGTAGGTCGCTCATCAAGCGTATGATCCTGCTGCTGTAGAATGGATAATGAAATTTCGTTAGACTGGACATTAATTTGGCAATGGAAGCACATACACACATACCCTTTCGGCAAATTGACGTTTGGCTTCCTGGACACGTGTCAAAAGAGGAACACCGAAAGCAAGAGTTTTGCCACTTCCCTAGAAAATAAATTAAAAAATTTTCGCCACTTGAGAAATTGAGAAGGTGCAAGAAAAAGGCCGCTGAGATATTTCACAGTAATTAGTAATGCAGATGTTAGCAAGTTCTCGAATTCAAAAATTTGAACATCAATAATGACAAAAATTTCAATAAAGATATTGAGACGAGTGGGGAATATCTGGCACAATACCGAACGACCCTTCAGTTTACATATCGAATTAATGTCTCGCGATTTGATTCTACGGTTTTCCTTTGGGAATTACACGTTTTAATTAGCAGAACTCAATTTTTGAATATGTTAGTATTTACAACAGAAAAAAGTGCTTCAAAATTAGTAAAGCAGATGGGAAAATTTTCGTAACAACGTGTAAAAAACAACCTCCACATTTAAAACTCCTGATTATATTTGGAGGACGTGAATATGGGGATAAGGAACTTACTGTTGGAGCCGACCCAAGAATGTCCGCATAGTCACGGATTGCGTAGGGAAGCACCTCTCTCTGAATTGGAGACGGCTCTTCAAAACCTAGTTCTCCAATAGCCTTCTGGATTTCTTCAGGGACATAAAGCGACTGCCACATCTCTATAATTTAAAATAAGAATAACTCTAGATAGTAAATAATGTCAAAAAATATGTGATGGCAGTTGGACGATAAATGGCGTCACACTAGCCATACATAAAAAATACAAATAATTAATGATAAAACAAGCAGAATTTCATTTCTGGCATATAGTGTTTCCAGAGCAATGAATACGAAATAAAAAAGTCTGATTTCAGAAATCAAGTACCTCCTAACAACTGCCTTACGTTATAAATCTGCACATGCTCAAGTTTTATAATAAAAAGAAACGCTTGACGTGTTCAACAAACAACCCACGTTTATAAACATCCAACACTACCAGTCAAATAATGCGTTCGAAATATTAGGTTAGAATTGGATGATTTAAACGATTTCTTTGCTTACAGTGTGAAGGAATTTATGCCAAGAAAATCAAACAAAAAAGCAATTATATTCGGAAACACGCAGAGTTGATCAAAATGTTGTTGCCTTGATTTCCGCAATCAATACATTGTGTGTGTGCGAGTGTGTTGGTGCACTGCGTTGACTAATTGAATTCTGTTTTACCGCTTTGTCTGGATTAAAATAAGCTGGTGGACCACACGCACTATGTCAACTTATTAAAATTGATTTGTTATGCTTTTGAAAGGATGCAATTTAAAAGTTTAATCGATTGCATCCACTATCGGAGATACGCCTAAATATAGAAAACTAACAATCTGCTATGGCAACCTTTGGAAACGCAACAATCAGAATCATTTATTTTCTAAAAAATCATAAATAAGCTTTGACGCTAAAGAAGAATTCCTTATAATTATCACTTCCTTTACATTTTAATATTTTCACGATGTATTTCAAAAAAAACTTGGTTCAAATTTTTGTTCTAAATTTTAAGCTAGTAAATTTAGATACCATTGACATTCCTTCAGGTAAACTGGGCGCTTCACTTACATCAAATGCAAAAAAATTGGATAAGTAATTATTTTTCGTGCTATGCTTAATTATGAAATTACGGCGCTGTTTAGGTAATAGGTACTCTGTATATTCAGGTGCAAAACTATTTGAAATTATTTTGAAGCCATTACCATTTACCATATTAAATCATATCAAATCTCTACATCTAACTGACGTTTTTCACATTTTGGTATTTTCTGTTCTCGTTCATTTCAATTGTTGGCTTTTGCAGAAAACAGATATAGCCGTTAATCATTCACTGGCTAAATAGAACCTCAATTCTTTTGACAAATAATTTAATTTAAGGTTCTTTTCGGCCCAGCAGGTAATCGGAAGCTAACGGTAATTTTCCAAAAGTGCTTTTCTTGACTCCCAAGAGTAACTCATTTGATTTAATTTTAACATTACTTCATTACTTCATTACATTCATTACAGTAAGACCCAAAATTATGGGATGTGACAAATTTTCGTGTTACAAAATCAACATTTCTGAAATCAGACCAAAATGAATTCCTCACTTTAAATATTGCATATGTAGAAAGGAGGTAACAAACTATTTAGTCGACTAAATTTAGGTGCACTGCATGAATAAATTGGCATAATGAATTGTCTTGATTGAATAAGCAATTGACGGCCAATATGACCAATGTTTATAATTTCAAAGTTGCTATTGGAAGGCCAAGTTCAATCTTTAATTTTCTAATTACTTAAAAAGGACCATAGAGACAACACCTAAATTAATTTAAAAACGGTATTCTGGAGAAGAATATTGTCTAATAAAAAAATCGTTTAAATTTGGCACTGCTACATGCAAATTGAGGGAAATTATATAATTTTACTCTGAGTAAATAAGGTCATTTGGAAAAAATCACTCTGCGTGCAGTAAGATCAAAAAGATAATTAATAAGTATCCATGTCCATTGCTTTTTTTAGCGTCCAAAATTTAATTAACTGTAAGACTAGACGTTTATGAATCTGTATTATTTCTTGTTTTTTTAAATTTTTGACAATTTTTTAGCCGACTATTTACTTAATGATGATAACACTAGTACTTGCGTTTTATTGTAATAGCCGCCACATTAGTAAATAGTTTGCGTGTTAAGTGGTCATGGGGAAAAAGGGGAAGAAGAACCGCTTTAATCAAGTTCTTGATATTGATATCAGTTATTCCAGTCACAGCGTAAGTATTTTTTTAATGGCCTGGCGTTGTTTTTAACTTAATTAACCGAAATATCTGAATTTTTTCTGTTTGTTGATTTAAGGTTATCGACGGTGGTGCTTCTCTCCCGCCGGAAGTAAATCTGTCGAAGGAGAAAGTGTCAGAATTACAGCGAATCAAAGCTAATCTACCAACTGCCCCACAAGCAGTGCGCATTGAAGAAGAAATAGCTCGTATCCCAGAATGTGGACCCTTTCGTGTGGTGCTCGTCAATGTACCTTATGCTGCAACTCGGAGCGATATAGAAAAGTACGTGTGCGCGAAGTATTCTTGATAAGTCTAACTTTTTAATGGTCTTAGTCTTGTTGCGTTTGTACATTCTTTTGCAAATGTTTCTTATTTTTATCAGAAACTGCTGCGTGTTAAAATACGGTGCTAAAATAACAGGTAAAATGTCCCTATCTTGTTCACCGGCATTGACTAACTATATATACCATAAATAACCTTTATGTGCCTGTTCTACATAGCTTCTTCGATCCCATTCAACCAACTCAAATTCGCACAATCGAAGATGATGGACGTTTTCGTGGGTTCTGCTTCATAGATTTTGCATCAAAAGCAGATCTATTAAAAGCGCTCGAGAAGGACAATAGTTTCATTCATAGTCGCCGCGTTACAATGCGCATAGCCGACCAGCAAGTAAGTAGATGCCAGTTTGTAAACTCTTTTTGTTTGCTTTTTTTGCTCGCTCCGCTGTGCCTTATAATTTGAACGTCAGTTTAAAACTTTAGAAGGCGTTTCAACCTGCGCACATGGTGTCTAATTTTGGAATCGAGCAATTTGTTTTTAAGTGACATCAGTTAGTAAAACTTCATAATTTTGTTGTGGGCGCGACCATGTGGTCTTGAATCACGCCGGGGCCACTAATTTTGATATGGCCCGACTACGCTTCTCTGCTATCGAAGACAGTGTGGACACAACCCGTTACTTCAGAGTTCAACAAAGTTGGTGTCGTGTGTGGTTTGCGCGTGTGTATTTACGCCTTGGATGTGTGAGCCATAGATGAGCTAACATCTAGACTTAGGTGTGAGGATAATTCAGGGTAAACGTTCGTGCTAATGAGGGGGGAGTTGAGGCTGGCGCCATGCTGCGAAAAGGCAACCCTTTGGTGAAGGTGGAACGACCAGATTAAGGGGTGTGAATCAACGCGACTCACGACAATTTCTTTTCACCGAGTGTTAGCGTGGTCTTTTACAACCAGGCACTTATCATCACGAGGTCGGCTAACCCTATTGCCATCTTTTTTTTCTTTCAACAGAATGACAGTGGTGGCAGGCGTGGTTACGGTGGTCGCGATGGCTTCTCTTCTCGTCGTCCCGATTTTAGGAGGTGATTTTGTTCATAATGCTCTTCCATAATGGTTACTGCAGTCTGGGTAAATTCGTTTGCTACACCTAAAGGCCGACGCTGATAAGCAAGCGGAAAAAATAATGGTTTGAATGTATCTGGTCTCGGATTGCTTTTGTTGACAATACAATCCAACTTACAAAGCTATCAACTTTGACCACACTCGGAGGAATGATATGACTGTTCGGAATTTGATGATTAGGGGAGGTGTGGTCAGCAAACTCATGAAGTGTGCTTGAATGTCACCAAATATATTTGTTTATTTATTCAATCACGAACGCGGTGTGTCAAACTACAAACTCACTGACTGCGCTACAATTTATTTCACGCCTCCATTGCAATGTGCTGTTTCTTATGCCATCACGAATATTCGCGAACTGGATGTTTTCGCAGTAAATGGTGTAAATTTGGCACCGCGTTTGCTTGTTTGTTCGCGCTTGTGGTTTGTTAGGTTGCAGCGATTTTCTAGGTGCGACTCCTAACCAATTCTTATGCTTCTTTCGGCGTGCTTGTTTTCAGGGGCTATGAAGCTGGTGGTGGCGGAGGCGAGCAAACAGAATCAATCGGTTGGACCCGTCGGGCGTCGCGACCGACACCGCAGACCTCGCAGCCCGGGTCTTTCTCGCGCTCGTCGGCTCCCGCCCCAGTGGTGGGTCCACCGGCAGAGCGGCCAGTCATTCGCTTAGCCCCACGCATCCTACCCCTCGACCAATCAGAGGAGAGGGTTGAGTCTGCTCAGTACTCTGCAATTTTCGGAGCTGCCAAACCCGTTGATATAGTTGCTCGGGAACGTGAAATTGAAAAAGTAGGTATTGTACCAACCGGTGTTCTCGTAGTCGCCGTTTTCGCTAGTTTCCCCTACCACATGTCTCAGTTCGTGCAGTTTGAATCCGAGATCCTGTTAACCTTTTCGGAGCGATTTCTCCACGACTCCATCGATGGTTCCGAACACCGACAAATCGTCAACTCGTTTTTTTTTCCATTATCACCAACATTCCAGGTTTCACTCAATTTTTGTGAATTTTGACGTTCGAACTTGTCCCACAAGTTAAGGAGGAACGTTTACGTAATGGCCAAATTCTAAATCTCGAAGCTCCATAGTCATTTTACAAATTGGTGTCCTAAATACCAATTTTCTACGCTGTTTTCCTAGAAAATGGCCAGCGCGTCTTTATCCGGTGATAAGTCAGTCGCACCCAAAATCTCTCCTACACCGACCTCTCAAACTGTCCCCGTAAGCGTTCATGTTGGTCTTGTTCTTTTTTTCCTGTTGTTATATTTGCTGATTGTTATTTGCGATTTATTAGTATCTAGATAAGCCTGACACTTGCTATCGTCTAAATAACTAGTTAATGAACTAGCACGATCACCAACATCATTATCACCCACCTGTGCCTGTTTTTCTACGAAGAATTTAAACTTCCCTTGCATTGATAGGCGAACAATACATTGTGACTGAACAAATAGGGAGAAATAAAAGTTGCTGTGTTTGAGGCGTGAAAGAGAGTGCGTAATCTGGGTTTGTCTAATCACGAAACCGAAGGTTAAGGCGTTAAGAATTTCGTTCACCACAGTTGTTTTACTATGCTATTTGGTATTAAACATCTTAACATTATTCTCATCTTCTTAATAGGATTCGTCTTCAGAAAAAAAGATGCCACCACAGGACAAGCCTAGACAAAGTGCCTGGGCAAAGCCATTGGTGTCTAACAGAGAATAGGCCGCTGACATTGTCTTCCTTACCTATGGACACCGCCTTTGTCATCATCGTCTAGGGTAAGTGAGTGCACAAAACCTATCACCAGTGTGGTGTGTTGTGTGTTATTTCGCATTACCATGCTCCACTCTCTTTTCCACAGTTGGGTCCCTGCTTTCGTTGAAGTGACTGCCAGCTTTTGTAGAACTAACCAAGTTCAGCTCTCCCCCATCCTCAGTTGTCCTACCCCTTATGTATACAGTTACTTATGTCCTGTAAACTTGTCCCTGCGCCTACAAAGGTCGTTTCTATTGAATGCTGGTGGAGTTATTTCAACGATTAAAAAGGCCTTTGCCCAGTGTAGGTTTCCTTACTTTTGTGGCATCAACTTACGATGTGTTGTTCGTGGGTCGAGACATGTGCAGTGGTATATTCAGTGTTTCATTGTCCGAATCACGGCTGGAGATCCTTACATGCAGTGCTTTACTAGAAATGGGTTTGGATAAATGTCAAGCAGTTGCGTACCGCTCTCGTTCTACCACGGAGTTCTTGCTTTAGTAATTGCGGGGGGAGGGGGGTTGATGATATCGGCGTAAATTGTGAGAGCTGTAGGTGTACAGGTCCTCTGAATCACGTATTTCCCCATTGGTTCTTGAAAGCTTGGAATGAATGCTAAATTTTGGGTAGCCTTATGATGTATTTTTCTCCAATATTAACAAAACAGACACATTGGCTGGTAGTTTAACATAATTCAGTTGATGACTATCCACGAAGTTGTTGGGTTCCAAAATTGTTTCTTCTTCAAGCAACTCGGTTTGACGAACAGCCCTGACGGGATCCTGCAATCTGGCCCATAAAGTTTGCTTGTTTTAGTCGAATAAAGTGTGGTTAGGAGAAATTGTGTAAATTCGGTAGTGTTTGCTAGGAGATAAATTGCTCAGATTTTGAATTCGGCAATTTTTATTACCAAATCTGTCATCTAAGTTTTAGGAGTCGGAAATTAGATATGCAAAAATCATTCCCCTTTAGTTCAGCGGATACGACTAGCCGAGGGATAAACATGGGTTTAGCGAGGCTGTTATAACCAACGTACCAAACACATAAACCTTTAAATAGTAGGAAGCTTCCTATAACAAACACCAACACATCTAAAAATACCTAATTATTAACTTGGACAAAGCAAAAAAGAGGGCTTAGAGGCTGAGTAAACGGGGCGCTAATCATTAATAATAGGAGTGTAGTGTTGCGTTCTTAATTGGTTAATGGATGGCTGAGTGAACAATTTGCCTTATATCTCAAAATTAATAATGGGATTAAATTAATTTTGAGTGCCTAGATGACTAAAGAGAAATCGTTATACGTTAAGGAATATTAGTTTAGCATATTGAGAGTATGGGTAAAAGCTGATACTTTTTAAATCCAAAAATGTAATTACCTTTTTAAAAATAAAGTCGAGTTTCTAATAGTGCTAAGTAGTTTGATATGTAAATGTCACTTACAATTTTGCAGATAAAGGAGTAAAGGCTTTTAGTTGTCTTAAATTTTGACTGGGTTTAGTTGTAACGTCTTACTGCTTGGGATAAATCTAAAACTATGCATTCAAATTCTTTTCAAACTTAGAACCAATATCGTGTCGGAAATTGCTTCCTGCTATAACGAAAATTAATAGCACAAAAGCACTAGGGCATTTTTGCAGTTGATTTTATTGCTTTGCTTAAAATGTCATAAGTGACCTTATTATTTAAATGACCTCATTTGTTGACTTATCTCTTAGGCGGTATTTATAAGAAAGTTGCCGTCCAATCATTGCGCTGCAAAACTCGAATAAGTATTCCTCTGTCAAATAATATTTTATTAATGTATTTGTGGTTCCTACGATTACCTGTTTTGTGTTACACATTAAAAATAATTATAAATTAGGTTGTTTGAACCTGTATGTTATATGTTGTACCTATTGTCTTTGATGAAATCACTTCATCAAAATTTATTTTGACTCAAGTCAACTGAGAAGGACGCTGTGGTCACCCTTGATTAATAAGTCACCTTTAACTAGTCACCTTAATTAATAAGTCACTCTTAATTAAAACGTCACCTTTTTTCTAGCTTCGGGCTCTCTGCGTTTAATTCCCCAAGTTAAGCGTTCATATTCTGACGAAAATTGTGACTTTGGTGTAGTTTGATTATTTTTTGTTACCTGCAAATATCTGATAAGGTCATCTCCGGGATGCTTATTGAGTCGAATCCATTCACCTCGGCTGCCTTGTAATTTTATTACGTATTGTGGGTTTTAAATGACGATGCAAAGTTTATTGAATTTTTGTGTTGGTGATCTTACAGATCAAATGTTGTTGACGCCTTAAAATTATCTTTTCTACTTGGTAGTTTTAATTGTATGCCTATAACAGCCTAATTTGACAACTAATACCTATTTAATAATTATTGTTCAAGCTGCAACATGGGTGGTCAATGCCTTACCGAATCGATGATTTTGAAGCGTGCACAAAAGTCAAATTTGGAGAGTGTTAAACGTGTTAATTTGTGGTAAGTACCACGCCTACTTACATTGTCGTATTTCAGGGGTTTAAACATTTGTGACCCATCCTTCCTTCTCCATGTTCCAGCCCTTGAAGTCATCTCCCTGAGGCATGCTCTGGTACATACAGTAATTATGTTTTTCTAGTTCCAACAACATCTCCTGCCTAGAAGCCTTTTCATCGTGTGTAAACCTGAAGGAACTGTACCTGCGCAACAATGCAATTTTTGATTTGCAGGAAGTGCGACACCTAAGCAGCCTTCCGCTGCTGCATACCCTCTTTCTTCTTGGCAATCCCTGCTGCTATCCACCTGGTAAATGTGGTTTTTCTACCAAGTTATTTTTTAGGCGTCGATCACATTGATACCTTCACCGAGACAACCAAGCACTATCGCCCAACTGTGATTAAGCACATTCCGCCACTGGAACGGCTTGATTTGCACTGTAGGTATTTCCTTAACTGCCATATCAGGCATTCTTATTGTCCATTAAGTAATACGTGTTTCTCTTAAATGAAAAAAAGTAGCCAAATGTCTCCGCAAAGATCATGTGTCTTTTTTAAATAAAGTGCAATAATCAAGCTAGTTTCCAGTGTAAATTCACTTAAACCGAAATTATCCGCGGAGAAAACGCTAATGTATTCTGTGTGTAGTTGTTTCCGATGCCGAAAAGTTGGCTGCCTTACGCTCAACACCGACTCCAACTGAAGAAACGACTGCCGAAGAAAATCCACCAGACACAATCAGCGAAAACGGTTTCGTTACTTCTCGGGAGCAGCCACTCGCACCAGACATCCACCCGGTAAATGCATTCAAAATCCATGTCTACGTGATAATGGTTCATAGTCTAGATGATACATTGTATGTCTACTGATAACTATAAGTAGGTCGTTTATTTACAGGAAACGATCACTGTTGCGGAGACTCCTGAGGGTTCGTTCACTGAAGACTCCTACCTGCAGGCCGTGATCGCGACGCCGCTAAGGCAGAAGTATGTCTGGTTTCATTGCATTTCAGTTGCATAGTTCCGTGCTATTGGTCATTACATGTGTTATTTTAATCCATATCCAAGGCGTTCAAGACAGAAAAATTGGATCTTGGCTCTTATACAATACTGCTCAAGAATATTTTAACATATAGGCTACTGTTTTCTTATAAGTAAACATTTTAAAACGAACTTTGTCACTTCGTCGCTAGTACTTTCGTGGACGCCCTAACGAACCACTAGTAGTTAAAAGAGCATCTTGATTAGAAAAGCAACGTATTTCTCACATTGAAATCGCTAGGTATACCGTCTGTATGGAATTCAACATGCCTATTTTTCCTCTCAATCTCAAAGATGCGTCAAAAAGTGTGAAAAACCGAACACGTTTTCTCAAGCACGCTACATTTCGCTCGTTTCGAGTATTTAAATTTGTGCGAAGTATTTTCGTGTGGTCTTAATTTTCGCTCAAAACAAAAATTAGCCTTAATGCGCAGTTCCTATTGGTTCTGCTATCGTCCAATTACACTTAAACTAACAAAAAATCGATGAACACAGTTCTCTCATTGATAATGCCTTACCTTTAATAATAATATTTTCAAATTTTCCAAATAAAGCAGGCTTCTATTCCTTTGTTTAGCATGTTTTGAGTTTCCGGTTCATCTCTCCGACGTATTGTTTAAAAGACGAAAAAAAACAAAAAAACTGTGGCACGTGCTTTCTGTTGTTCCCTGCGTAACAATAAAATTTTCACTCACTAGAAATTTACCAAAACGCATCAGCAGTCAGCATTATTTAATTATTTCATGCTGTTGATTACCAAACGCACCTAACCACATCAGAAAATTTTTTATAAAAGAATTTCGTTGGAATTATCAAACGCGATACTGAAAGGTCATGCTTAAACAAACTTTCAAAAAAGTTCTACACCATGTTCCTGACATCTCGGATGACGTCTCCATTCGGAACCGACATGGTCTGTTAGTCAGAAAACGAATTTCGGATTGCTACTTATTTTGCCATCAGTACTATGTTAGTGAGGCCGAATTTTTATGCTGCCAAGACCGAAACTGAGTGACAAGTATAAGTAGGTCGAGATATCGCAAAGTCCGCAGTTAGTCAAATCACCCGGTGCGGGTCGTTTTGGTCTGGAGTGAAAATTTTAGTGTTGCTTTTGCACACGCACACCAAAACCATGGAAAAATGTTTTGTCCTCACTTCAGACGCGCACAAAAAACTTGAATCGATAGTTTGAAAGACAGGAATTGTGCACATTCGAAATTTTTAATTTGGCAGCAACGCAATCAGTACGGATTAGCACTTAAGATGACACGTGCACAGATAATTTGCCAATTAACGTTCGTGTTCTCGTTGGCTTATACATCTCTATAGGGTTATGTTTTCACAACTTTAGAAGATATACAATGAATGCTGACTGCTACTTATTTTGCCATCAGTACCATGTTAGTGGGGCTGTCAAGTTGAAGTGACCCGTCAGGCCGAATTTTTATGCTGACAAGACCGAAACTGAGTGACAAATCTATTGACGATAGAAAAAATCGATGATTGGAGATTATGGAACATTCGAAGACCTTTAAAATCCGCAGCCAATCAGATCACTCAATGCGGGTCATTTTGGTCTGGAGTGAATATTTCGGTGTTGTTTTTGCACATTCACACCAAAACCATGGAAAAGTGTTTTTGTTCTCACTTCAGAAGCGCGCAAAAAGACTTGAATCGATTGTTTGAAAGGCAGAAATTATGTACATTCAAAAGTTTTAATTTGACAGGAACGCAATTAGTTCGGATTAGGACTAAAGATGACACGTGCACAAATAATTTGCCAATTCGCCTTTGTGTCCTCGTTGGCTTAGACTCCCCCATGGGGCTCTGCTTTTAGCAACTTTACAATGAATGTTTCTAATGGCTCTCATGTTAGACCCAAATTTGTTTAATCACTGATTCTAAATTTAGCGGTCACTTTAAATATGCGACCACTCCTTTTAGCTAGCGAGACATTTGTTGGTCATCAAAAGGTGCATTGGCACATAAACAAACCCTCCACAAACACGCCCACGCATATTTCGACTTCTTACCTTCTTTTTCCGTGGACTTCTATCGGTGCTAATTACGACGCAGTTGGAGGTTTATTCCACAAGACAACAATTTGTCTTTCCATCTGACACCGCCTAATTTTAAATTTACACCGAGTTCTCTAAATGCGTGTACTATTTCTCTTACTCTCTCCCAGTTTGACTGTAAAGTGTCAACACAAATAAACAAAACAACATCGCTAAGTGTTTTCCAAAATCCCTACATGATCTGCTCTAGAAATCATGAAATCCACCATACCTAATTTGTAATAGGGAGAGTGACTAAGCCTTTTACGAAATCCGTCAAAGTTCTTACACACTTGTAGTCTAAATCATGTGTTTTTCACGTGCAACGCTCTCAATCTCTCCCCACTTGACTGTAAAATGCCCGCGCAAATGAACATCAGTGGTTGTTTTTACGTAATCTATGTCGGTTGGATCAAGGGAGAATCCCTTTTTTGTATGGGTGAGTCACGTTGAACGACCGCCCGGATTTGAAATCGATAAATGTGACTGGAAGTGGTTGCTTCTTAGCCTTTTCGATAAATCGGGACGTGTTTGACTTGAGAAAAAGTCAGCTGTGTTTGGTAATATTACAACAGATCAACTAAGGCCCCTTTTTACACAGATTCATCGGTTTTAAAGGTGCTGGATGCCATCGCTAAGTCTTCTCAAAAATCTCTACATGATCTGCTCTAGTAATCATAAAATCCACCATACCTAATTGGTAATAGGGAGAGTGACTAAGCCTTTTTGCGAAATCCGTCAAAGTTCTTACACACTTGTAGTCTAAATCATGTGTTTTTCACGTGCAACGCTCTCAGACGTCTTTGCCCCGTTTAATGATCAGTAATCTCCTTAGTTAGTTAGTTAGTTAATAGCCTTACAGTATTTTAGCGATAATCTTGTGATTGGGCTAAAACCACTTGGAGTGCACTTGTTTTGGTGTCATCCTGATTGCACGTGACACAAACACACGAGTTGTTTGCGGAGGCGTGTAGCGTTTGATGATGATGATGGTGATGATGATGGCGGCATTACAATGGACGAATTTAGCAGATGGAAAATCTTTTGTGCGTTCAACGCCCAGCCGTGACCTCAAAAAGGGCGCCTGGCAGAGAATGCTGCGTCTTTGCAATCTCGCATTCGTTGATCACCTCAGTAAAAGCTTTCACTTTTATTAATTGACATATCTTTTCATATTTGAGTTTTCATTCCATATATGAATTCGTGACTTTACTACTTGCATTTTTAATCGCATTGAGTGACCTTGACAGTAATTCAGAAGGATTAACCAATAGGGTAGCGGCGGTCGATTTTAATTGTAGACAATTGGTGTGCATTGGCGCATACAGTACTTCAGGGGTAATACCACATTTGAAAATTCGTAACTTCTGATCAACCAGCACATGAATGCAGTTAATGTGCCGTTAAACCAGAGACTAGCGGCAATTAGTAAATGAGCCGGAAGTGTTTGCGAAGAGACAGTTATTTCCTGTTGGATTCTGGATCACGTGACTGGGTGATGCCTGATTTTTTGAAATTGCCTATTTATTTTTGGTAAACAAACCAGTCGAATTCGGCGTTGGGCATTTTGAAGGGTAGTTTTTTCTTGTGGTTTCTTGTTGGCATGCAGTTTTTCTCCCCGAAATTTCATGCATTCAAAAAGTTGAAATTGCGGCAAATCGAAATTATTGAAAAGCCAAGGGAAGCACACTTTGATTGGAAAAAAAGAAGACATTTCTGATTTCAGCATCATCAGCATCTCTGTGCAGCCCGTGTTAAAAGTGCCAGGTATTCCACGTGTTGAATGGGTTAGCCGTCATCATGTCCGCTTAATTTTCTGTCAAGTCGATGCCGTTGGAATCAGCATTAGCTGTAATTTGAGTGAGCATCTTCGACTGTCTGTGTGTTTTTTTGCTTTTCTCAAGAGTTTAGTTAGGAAAACAATTTGCCAAGGTAGCACATGACCTTGAAATTCTAGGGCATTTCAAGGACTTATTGTGGTGATGCATTGCGTAGATCTCGAAAAGAACTTTGAGATCTATGTATAAGTTTAGATCGACTCATTTTATCGATTCGTTAAAGTGTTTTGGGAGTGAAATGTTATGAGTGTTGTCTAGTGATCCCCCCATCAAGAGGTGTGCTCACGTGACTCGTGAGTTTCTTTCACAGACCATGGGAGGGTGATGTCCCGACCTCAGATCGTAGTAGATTAAATCTAACACCACCACCACCACCACCACCACCACCACCACCACCACCACCACCACCACCACCACCACCACCACCACCACCACC